TTTACACCAAATCTAACATTATCAAAATGCTAATTCTAATATTAACTGCATTCGTTTTGGTTTGGTGTATATATATATTTCAGCACACAGTCTTTGTTTTAAAGATAACTTAGTCATGTTAGTGTACACCTGAACTTTGTTATGTATTCAAATAAAACCACATGAATTAAAAAAAAACACCAACGACAAAAACAAATGTATAACTTGCTTTGAAGTGTATTACTACATTGACCTAATGTTGATGGGAATCTGTCACATTATCACTTATAATATATTCGAGAGCAAGAATTTGTACTTCCTGCTGCACCGTGAAGTTTGCATTATATATAATAATGAATACAAACTTTGCTTTAAATCTGGTTCTCATTCTTGAAAATGACTCTGATGTGCGATTTCAGACTAGTATAAATGACACACTTGTCTCAATGTCACTTACCTTTTCCTCTCACGCATTTTCATATCTCAATTTGGGGTTTCGCCCATGCGTTTATGTCATCGTATCCAACCAGAAGTGAAGTGCTCCTACCAAAACGTTAAGATATTGCATCTTAAAAATGCAGTTCTTACGCTGAATTACTGGACTTAGGCAGAATGTATAGAATAGATGTACATTATTTGATACTTTTGATATTTGATTAACTCGATAGCGTTTAAAGTAGTACCAATATCTCTTTTCCCTTTCATTTTTTTCAACAAACTTTTAATATACTAGTGGTATTTATTGTCTCATTTTCGTGTTTGTGAATAGGCTGAACCACCTTCAATAACAACAAGTGAGAATGGGACACCACAGCTGATAACACTGAAAACGTCTATACCACATTGTGCACCTCTTGGATCTAAACCATCGTGTGACTTCGCAGTGGAAATCAAAGGAAGGGACAATTCCACAAATGGTGAGCATTCAATTTATTAAAACACAGTATACATTATTTTTAAGACAGTAGAATTATATTGTTACCAATTATTTAATTCATTATCAAATTTTTGAAAAGTGATGAAAAAAGATTATATCGTTAAATTTGTAAAACCCAATTTAAACACTTGTAATGGCTAATTGTGTCAACGCTTAGAAATAAGAATCATCATACTGATATTTATCATTTCGCAGTAGGAAAATTTGTTATCATAAATATTCGAGATGAGGGTCAATTGTATAATCATTTTTTATTTATCTATTACTTTGGTTGCAATTAATTACCCAGTGATAACTCGGTGAAAACAAAACGATAATTTAACATTTAAAATTAATCTCATAATTTTACTGTTCAAACATGTATACCGGCATACAACAGTGCGTTGTGTCACCACGTTGTAAATGACATTGCATTAAAACAATTGCGAATGCGTAGAAAACAATTATAGTTCTTTTCATTTTCTATTTCATTTCCGTTTAAACAACCAATAGTCAATGTAATAAAAAGAATAATTAATCCAAGAGTTAAAATATCAGAAAAATATGCAACTACAACAATGATACTAATTCATGCATTATTCATAATCGTGAATTAATTCGATGTTTGGTCATTCATTGAATATTTTTCTATATTTAATTCTTCGATTACCTATTCTATAATTATCTATTTATCTAAATCGTTTGTGGAAAATGATACATCTTGCAACCAAGAATAGTAAAATGTACATTAATATTCTACAGTTACTCGTGATTACCAACATACACAATAAGTTAACATACATCCTACATTTTGTATGTCTTTATTGTCCGTCACCGTTATTGCAATAAGTTACTATCGAGTCTAAACGTATTTCGCCTGTGTATTTTGGACACAGTGTCTTTGTAACAGTGGTAGAAAATGCGTCTGCGTTTTTGCAAGATGGTTTTTATTTTTTTTATTATTTTTTTTTTTTTTTTTTTTGCCTTAAACGAGCTCATATGAATTTTCCTTACTGATATTCTTATCAAAGTTTGTAAAAGACTGTTCTAAACGGTACATTACAAAATGTGGGTATTAGCAATAAGACTGCATCCAAAACTGGTATAGTAGTATATTTACTAAATTTGAAAAACAGGTAAATAAAGAATAACAAGAGAGATTATGCCATTTCAATATCTACTCAAAACAATTGTGCATTTGGCAAAACTTTTCGAAATTATTGGCCCTCAATGCTTTCGACTTCGTACTTTATTATGCCTTTTAGATTTTCTTATTCGACGTTATTGATGAGTGTTTTGTGGACGAAACGCACTAAATGATAAAATTACAAGCATTGTTTCTTTAATTTACATGTTTTTTTTTCACATTTCTCGATCAGTATGAGAACAAATAATGCTCGTCTCTAGAGAAAACATTGTCCTCTGCAAATAATTTGTCAAAATCTGATTATGACGTCAAATGTTCTTAGTTTCTTCTGAATTTCTATTGTGACGTCAGGAAAAAATGCGACCACGCATGATGAAGTCACATATCAAGAACACAACTTTCTGCAAATCTTTGAAAGGAAGGATAAACCTTGCTTAGATATCTCTGATGAATTTTTTTAATTCCTTGAAAACAATTGGAAACCTTTTTCCAGTTTATCAAGCCCATCTTTGACTTCATCGAGTAGTTGGATTATTGTATACATTGCACGGTAATAGCTTTAATTAGACAATATGAGCACATATGAGCATAAATCACTATATAGAGAAAGGGGATGTGCTCCAGATTTATGAGGAAAAACGACAAAACTCAACACTACACAAATTTTACATCCCTAATCATAGATAAGTTGGATTATACGTTTTGTCTGCACCAACTCATTAGAAAAATGATTTCACGGTCTCAGATCTTAAGGTACCAGAACATTCGTTTGATCTCTGAATTAGCCTATGGTGCTTTATTCGTGATTGTGATATTGTCTTAATGAATTTAGGACATTTGAACATCTTTAAAATACTGGTGCCTCTTATCTATTGCTTGATATACTGTGCCGATCCTTTTTTTTTTTTTTTTTTTTTTTTTTTTTTTTTTTTTTTTTAACCAAATCTCTATCCAGCAGTTATTAGTAGGAAACGTATGCTCCAATTGCTTGTTATATCTTATAAACTGTGTAAAGTTTACTCAATATGCTTGTCATGTAGGACTGATGTTACATAGAAAGCAAAAAAATATTCATAGGAAAGTCCATAAGGGAAAATTGAAGGCATCATGTCTCCGTAAAGTCAGTACTTCGGTACTGACATGATTTATAACAAACTATCTAAAATTGCCCGTATATAAATTTGGAACTTATACAGAAACTAAGGTTTCAACTCCCTCAGGCAAAGATGTCCTTAGATGGATTTGGCTATTGTTTTTTATGTCCTTTTTGGTTTATAGCTCTCCAACGTTTTCGGTCCTTATACATCCTTGGCTTTCAAATTTTCGGCTTTGATCGTTCCTGATGAAGGTAAATCCAGAAAAGCGCTTCGGACGCATGAAATTTATAACGTGTTTTCATTTTTTTACAGCACTGAGTCGATACCTCTGCTGGTGGACTATCAGTCCCCGAGGGTATCATCAGCTCAGTAGTCAGTACTTCGGTACTGACATGATTAATAACAAACTATCTAAAATTGCCCGTATATAAATTTGGAAATTATACAGAAACTAAGGTTTCAACTCCCTCAGGCAAAGTTGGCCTTAGATGGATTTGGCTATTGTTTTAAGGTCCTTTTTGGTTTATAGCTCTTCAACGTTTTCGGTCCTTATACATCCTTGGCTTTCAAATATTCGGCTTTGAGCGTTCCTGATGAAGGTAAATCCAGAAAAGCGCTTCGGACGCATGAAATATTTATAACGTGCTTTCATTTTTTTTTTTTTTTTTTGTGTTCCCAACTGACCCTCATTGCCCATTTCTAGAGGAGAATCAATATTTAAACGAAAACAAAATTTTACCTATGGTATCTATTATTTGAATTGGAAATGAGTTTATATCATTTTACACAGTTATACACTTTAAATTATTCATTTAGAAGATATCATCGATATGACTAAACAAACAATGAATAATACAAGTTTATTGATGCCATCATATCATATATGCTTCTCACACGAAAACAAAAGAAAAGTCGTTAAGTAGGAGCACAGGGTGTTCTTACAGGAATACCGAAAGACTAGGAAAAATTCAATCAAACATAACACAATCTTTGAACATGAGTTGTTTGTTTTGTAAAAGAAGAATATAAATATTTGAATGATTAATATAAGTAGAATTTTATACGCATATTCCCTCATTTAATCAATCTTAAAATGAATAGATGTGTTATGTTTGCCAGGGAGACAACTTTCAATCAGAAATTTACAGACATGGATGACAGCAAGTGTAGGTCACCGTACATCATTTAACAATGAATGACAAATCGCATTCTGTATAGTAAGCTAAAAAAGAACCGCATGACATATCATATAAATAAAGGCTACATTAGTATAACGCTGTTTAACATGTTTAATAGTCAATAATCGATTGAGCGAAAACAAATCAGGGTTACATACAAACAGATAAATCCTAAAATCGAAGGATTTGATTAATATTAAAAACCTAAACAAAAAAACATATATGGCATATGGCATATTATAGCAAAACCCAACCACAGACATACATGCACCTGACCTAAGAGAAGTAAATACAACCTGTGGCAGGTTCATCATGCTAGGGAATACAGTACAATAGCATAACAAACGGTAACAGTCAGTGTGAAAGATCTTTAACACAAAAAAACAATCTTGTTAAAAACAAACAAGAGACATAAGAGCCAATCTGAGAGTACTCATGGTTACTGAAAGCTAAGTCCCAGACAAAAAATAAATGACTTCAGTTTTCTGAGACTTACTAGCAATCAGTATACACACATATACACCGGATTTATTTGAAAGAAAATTTCTAGAATAACATGACCTAGTGCTAATATTAAACGTATCGATGTAGCACCATAAGTGATGAAGTGTTATCTATTAGTATATATAAATTGACTATATAAATTTTTTTTAACATATTGTGGTTGATATGTTTTATTTCAGACTATTCGACAGCAGGTTGTAGTTACACATTTATATACAACCCGATAAATCATAAATGTGAGGCAAAGATAAAAATAGTTGCTACACGTGATTTCGTAAAGGATGGAGACAAAACGCATACGCTGTCATTTAAACCAATAGAAACTGCTCAAAACAAGCATCTTAGTTTACAAAATATTATGTGGATGAAACATCAGATTAGCCCCATTCAGGTCTGTTTTATTACACAACCCTCAATGTGATGATAAAATTAGTTTATTGGTCTTGTATTATATATGTGTATATAAACATATAAATCTATAAGACTTTAGTGTGGATGTAAATCTCCTTCGGTTAACATATCTATTGGTCAAGTGATGGTAATTTCAATTACTATTTGAAAGATATAAATGTGTATGTTGTTAAATTTTGCAGTTATGGTGCAGTTATTTTTGAGATAACTTATATTCCTCTATTTTGTTTTTTTGTTTTTTTGTTTTTTTTTTGTTTGTTTTTTTGTTTTGTTTTTTTTTGTTTTTTGGTTAAGTCTAAAATTGTCCTGATGGGTTGAAACATGTTATGTTTTAGAAAGAAACTCTTGGAAACGTCAATGAGAGAGCGACCAAATCAAAACAAACCTTTGATAGATACCCCTCTCCTTTAACTTGTTTCTAAATGTATGTCAGAGTGGGTTTTGTGTTCGTGTTTCTTGTGCTTATAGTCTTTCTTAAAGACATGAAGACTGTGATAGTTTTGATTTTTTGTTAGATTCACAACAGGAATGGATAGTGACTTTGCAATAGATTTAATTTTCAAAATAGCAGTTTGTGTTATACTGTCTTCTTTTATCGTATTTACCTCAGTGCTCTTTCTAAATATATTGTACACTTCATGAACGAATTAAACACAAGTGTGACGCGACTTTTTGCAGAAGAACATATTGAATTTGGTATTTGTTCTAATAACAAAAAACAATTCTCTCATATTGACAATGGAAAAAAATTGAACCCAAATGTTTGCTTCATGAAACAGCAAAGCATAAGTCATCATCATAAATGCTTGGTATAACACGGAAAGAACCCACATACACAGACAGATATAAGATTAAGATATATTCAAATACGGATTGCAATTCTAATTTTTTTTATACTGATAAAAATCAAACAGATGCTTCATTCCATGCGTAAGTGCTTTAATCATAAGAAAAAATAAACTGGAAATTGAAAACATATAATTAAGACAGTATTTTTTCTGAAGAAATAAATCATTCTTAAATAATATCTTTTCGAATCAATTGACATCTTTCATGATTATTTCCTCCAGTATTGAAACGTCATGAAAGCGCAAACACTCTAATAACACGAGTAATGTTCCGGAATGAAGCCGTCATATGTTTATTATAAGTGAATATTAATCTATCATAATACAAGGGTTCGAAAATTTGTATATAAGCAGTAAATGTACCAATTTCACTACATCAGCGCATGCCAACATTTAAGGATGTTCACTACCCTATTTAAAAAAAGCTTTGGAAAAGAATGTTATAAATAGTATATAAATAATTGAACTAAAGAAGAAGAAACCAAATTAAGGGTCTCTGACCTTGTTTTCCAGATATAAGCAATTAAAAATATTGCGGGGAATGATTCTCTCTAGATTGTTCATACATTTAACATTGGCACCTTTATTCTTTCAAAAAACTATGAAAAAAATACAGGCTTCTATAAGATTTTCATACTTTTACAACTATATGTAATAAAATTACGGAAAAAAGTAGGGGTTAGCGGACCAAATATTTATCGAACACGACATGGATAAAACCAGATAATTCCGAATATCTGACTAAAATTAAAACTCAAAAGGAGTGAACATCCTTAATATCCTAATGTTCGAGGTCAAGGTAATCAAAAATCAAATATTGAAACGCCGAAGAATTTATGTCAACAAAAAGCATTAAAAGTGTTACTAAGCACTGATGAGTTACTTTTACTATGCACGAACGAGATGTATTCGCTAATTCAAAATGCTTTCGATAATTTTCTTACAATGTTTTAAGATTTACATTTGCTTATGTTTCGTCGTGACATACCAAAGAATAGACTTCATTATTTGAGTAGATAGGTACCATGATTATAATTTAATACGCCAGACGCGCGTTTCGTCTACATAAGACTCATCAGTGACGCTCAGATCAAAATAGTTATAAAGCCAAACAAGTACAAAGTTGAAAAGCATTGAGAACCCAAAATTCCAAAAAGTAGTACCAAATACGGCTAAGGTAATCTATTCCTGGGATAAGAAAATCCTTAGTTTTTCGAAAAATTCAAAGTTTTGTAACAGGAAATTTATAAAAATGACCATATAATTGATATTCATGTCAACACCGAAGTGCTGACTACTGGGCTGGTGATACCCTCGGGGACGAAACGTCCACCAGCAGTGGCATCGACCCAGTGGTGTAAATAGTTATCAAAGGTACCAGGATTATAATTTAATACGCCAGACGGGCGTTTCGTCTACATAAGACTCATCAGTGACGCTCAGATCAAAATAGTTTTAATCGTCAGTAATAGTAGCATACATGTACTATTACTGACGATTAAATGGTTAATCTGATCATTTGATATCCCTCTTTGAATATGATTGTTTTTACAAAGCAATCATATTTAGGGAACACATAGATTACTTGATGTATTCGATGAAATAAATATAATGCAAATTTACAAAATGGAAATGTATTTAAGATGGAATGAAAAGGTCAAGTCTCTATCTTCTAGATTGTTTTTAATTTGTCATCCTCATTTTAGATATAATAGGCGGACTAGACAAACTTTTCTTTCTTGTTTTAACAATTATGTTTGACGTCTACATGATAAAAGGCAGGCAGTAAAGAAATAGCTTGTAAACTTATATGCTCAACTTGAACAAAGAATGATTTTAGAAGTTTTGAGATTGCTTTAAATGCCAACTATATAGATATAGACAAACCAAAACTCCTCGTTTTTTGGGGTATCACGTTTTTTTTTTCAATTTTGATAACCTTTAACATTTCATTTTAAAATCGAGGTATTTTTCAATTGATAAAAAAATATCAAAATATATTTGAACAGGTTCATACTATCGATAAAAAGAAAGGAGTATGTAAAGCGACTACAGATCCTCATATATCGAGTATTGCTGGAAAGTAAGTGTCAAGAAAGAAATAGATAACCAAGAAAAGCGAAAGATACCAAAGGACTTTAAAACTCAACTCGACAACGGACTGACAACGCCATGGCAAAATACGAAATACGAAAGAAAGACAAACACAATATACAAAACACAACATAAAAACCTAAACCCGAAGTACCATGAATCCAATCAAAACTTTGGACGATCTTGGATGATCCAAAATTTAATCAAGTTCTGCTCCACTAGTAGAGTAGGTCGTATTTGTCATAGTAAGAACAACTTGTCTTATTTGTTTGTTTTCATTTAAATTTTTATCAAACATCACGATTTCAAATTATGAAAAACATTAGATGATACCGTGTAAATTATTAACTGTAATCTAAATAGTTTTCATCTCTATTATGTAGTCTGATTGTCGGGTTGGTCAGTTTATCTTCTGTATTTTCTTTTCCGTAAAACACGCTTTCAACCTGAGGTTTTTGACATCTGATTAATGCATCTTGTCACTTTTAAAAGTAGCTCTGTAAAGTGGGAGATGATAGAGTATACCGACTTCGCATAACACCCCCTCCGAATTGTTTGTAGTTATTGAGCTGAAGTGTGCAATGCATGCCGAATACCTCCAACTCAAAACTAAGTAACGTAGACAGTTAATTTGCAGTTAGTGATGTAATATTAACTTTTGTATCACTTTTTCTTAATATTGATATTTATAGGAATTACATTTTAAACTTGAACTGATTCTTCATAACATTTTGTAAATAAATACTTTGAAATGAAAAAGGAGATGTGGCATGATTGCCTAATTAATAACAAACAATTTACGAAAAACAGGCTTCTTATATGGGACAGGCACATAAAGAATGTGACGGAGATGAACATGTTGGAATGTACCAGCCCTTCCCTAACCTGGACCAATGATGCAACGACACAATACAAGAACAAACTATGCAAAAAAATAAGCAACAAATACAAGAAACAGTAATAAAAGACAACCAGTCAATTACATCCTTCTGATTAGGGAAAGGCAAACATAAAATGTTTATTTTTATACTTGAAATAGGTATATTGAAACACTACACCTAGTATCATTACCTCATTTTTTATTATGTCTTAAATAAAAAGTTTTTCTACAACAAAAAGGCAGAATATACAGAGCGAACATTTCAAACTCTCAAGTCCAAGACAAATTCAAAACCCCATGAGATAAAGCAAAAGACAACGATAAGAAAATTAAGTTTCACTTAACAATACGTAGGAAATTAAAGCAGAAGCAGCGGAAACCAAACAAAACAGTAAGGGTGATCTTATCGGCTTCACAGGGGCAATAAGGGGCTGCGCCCAAGGGTAAGAACACCTTATTTTACTTCGTCGTTTTCCTTTTTATTCTTTTTAAGCAAAAAAAAACATTTCAACTGGATCATCAGTAAACATTTTTTTGATTGAATAATGTTTTTTTTCTTATTTTCAAGTACAATGAATAGTATGAGTTACCTCACTACTTTCAAAATATTGTTTATTAAAAAAAACAAATTTTGTGAGAAAAAAAATCTATCGAATAAAATTTTGAAAATAAAATATGAGAGAGAGAGAGAGAGTATAATAATAAATATTATTGATATACAAATATGCACATTCAGGGTACTAAAATCTATCAACAACTACATTTTGGAATTAATAAGACTGATAGCTTTCTCAGTTGAAATGTTTCATATTTTTAATGTTGGGGCCTTTATAGCCGACTATACGGTGCAGGTTTTTCTTATTGTTGAAGGCCGTATGGACCTAAAATTGCTTACATCCACTACATTTGAACTGTTGTGAATAATTGTCTTACTTGCATTCATACCATTCATTCTTCTTTATAGTGAGAGGCCATGAAAGGCATAGATATTTAATTAGTCAATAGATGTAACTATATTATGACGAGGTTCATAAAAATCATTTCTGTTATTATAGGGCTGTTCAATCCTACAACATTGGTGTTAGTGTATTTTATCGCACAAAGGCATCGTGCACAAGCATTAGACCATTGAAGGTATTATTGTCTTTCAAATTATTTATTCAACATGCATCTATGAATTTAATCATAACACACCAAAAACATATATTCTAATGGGAAATTACGAATAATTTCATTAAATCAACATATCGCGATCCTGAAAATATGGCATTATGATTTTAAATACTTCACAGGAGATATAATATACTGTTAACGTTATGATAACTTTAAACAGGTGTGTATATATATTCTCTAATTCATAGCCGATTCATTCTTTTTCCTAACGTTTGATTGTTTGGTTCACTTAGCAAGAAGTTTTTAATTGGTTGAATTACATCATTCTCTTGCTTTTGTATAAATTCGCTATATTGTGACAACACAAAACGGTTAGTTTGCATATCTTTTAAAAAGAAAGACTAAGTGTTTCCTGTATGATTTAAATTATTCCTCATAATAATAGATTCCATCTCTGAAAATCATATTATACAATAATTCTTGCCTTGCGAAATTAAATTATAAATATCAAAAACGACAAACAAGCTTCGCAATTAAAATTTCAAATTGAAAATTGAAAATTCTGATAATGTATGTATATAAGTTTAAATAATGTACCTCTTGCATATGCTAAGGTATACTGCTTCAGCATATCTGTTCAATTGCAAGTAAACATTTAATTTGTTCCCTTTTCCTAAAGACTTGAAAACGTCAACAGTTTTTGCTTTTAATAACGTTATCAATATCACTTATTAATAGATTCACATACAGTCGAACAAAGCATGCTATGCCCATCAAAAGGCTGCGTGTATATGTGGAATTGTAGCCCAAGAAGGAAACGATATTGTAGAAATAAATGGTTGTACACAAAGAAAAAACGTTTATTATGTGTCAAAGTACAAACGATTAGTTGATGGCACTACATTTCATACGGACACAGGCGGTAAAAAGTTTTACGTAAGTATTTTTGAATATTGAAGTGTTGTTTAAATATATACGTAATAAGATAGGAAACAAGAAGATGTGGTAAAATTGCCAATGAGACAACCATTCAACAGGGGCAAAATAACTGCTTATACATGTTTGTGAGCGCTTTCAAACATCTATAAAAGAGGGACGAAAGATACCAGAGGGACAGTCAAACTCATAGATCGAAAACAAACTGACAACGCCATGGCCAAAAATAAAAAGACAAACAGACAAATAATAGTACAGAAGACACAACATAGAAAACCAAAGACTAAGCAACACGACCCCACTAAAAACTGGGGGTGCTCTCAGGTGCTCCGGAAGGGTAAGCAGATCCTGCTCCACATGTGGCACCCGTCGTGTTGCTTATGTTATTACAAATCCGGTAAATAGTCTAATTCGGTAAGTGCATTCGTGAAAAGGGAGGGTATTGTAGTTATGACATAAGGAACATATCCGATATCATCTCTGAAACCATTATTTCATAACGGTCAACCAACTCGTGATGGCGTCCGTAAAATTTACGAAGGGATGACTTCAATTTCACCATTTGGAACTCTTGGTTTAATAGCTTCCTTGTGAGCAGCAATCCTCTATCAAGGAAATCTTGATAGGAAACACAAGCCCGGGAATATCGTATCAATTGGGAGATATATACTCCGTATGCAGGCGCTGCTGGAATATTGCTACATAGAAATGGTAGTATCCTTTATCTCTAGTTCGATTGAATAGATTCGTTCAACATAGTCACCAAATTTTGTATTATTTAGTGAGAGAACATATAAACTATAGGAGACACACAATATCCAAGGACCTATAATTAAAGATCAACATTTAAAAATGGTCAAAGCATTAACGACATAACAACACATCATGTTTAAGGAGAGCAAAGCAAGTTACATTTGAGAACACTTTAAAAAAAATCTTGGAGACAGTACAACTACCATCTACAATAAGAGTACTATATTAAAGCGGGACAAAAACCAGTTCAAAACAATAATTGGTTATAATGTGTAAAAAGTAATTCAACACTGAAAAATGCGAGTAGGCTGTATAATCATTTAAAGTATAGCTAAGGGGAAAAGTGCATCTATCTAGATTGAACTCTATAGATATATTCATCAAAGATACCAGCTTAATAGTGTACACTAGACACGCGTTCGTCTGCAAAAGAAGCATCAGAGACGCTCGAATTAATAAAACTATAAAGGTCAAATAAAGTACACCAGTACGAAGCATAAATAACAAGAAGCATCGTCTCTGGTGCTTCTTTTTTCTTAATTATGATTATAAAGAAACTACATTTGCAATGATTTGTTCATTTCTTTATTTTTTTAACGTGACGTTTAACTTAATATTTTACATATAAATCCATAACAAAATTGTTCTTCAAAAGCATATTTTATTTGGTTTTCGTAAAATTTTATCTTCAATTGCAAATGCTCATGTTGAAAAAAAATAAATGAATGAACATTGCGTCACCAAAGTGATTTGAAACAATATGCAAAAATCAAATAAATGTACTGGAAAACTGTATGTACATGTACAATGCTATTTTAGATAGCATGATTAGTAAGCGGTGAACATTCTTTACAGCAGATTTAAAAAGGTCACGCTTTCAGAGATATCATAGATCTTTGACGTACAACGTATCGTGCTTTCATCTTTTCTCGATCATAGCAATTATTATTCGATTACTATGCGCGTGTTCAAATTGGACATTCCTCACGAAATCGCACGTGTTTTCTGTTCGCCAGGATTCACCTACAGAACAACACCTCGCTTCACGCAATTAGTCATTTCATCATGTTACGTATTAAGGTATGTATAAAAATAAAAAATATAGATTCCTATAATAACCTACTTTTTCTTATTTCCAAAACTACCCCAACTTCACACTCTCGGTTCATAAAATACACGTTTTCAAATGTAAACAAAAAATAGCTTCAAAAGAAGGTCAAGTACACAAATGTGATACTCAACCGGAAATGAAGGTGTGGCGTTGCTCGAAAAAAAAACTATGGAACGCCGTTTGGGTCCTATCTTATTATTTGAAAAATAAATGTTATGCAAAAATCGGCAATGGTAGAGCAAGAAAGTAATTAGGAAACGGGTTTATATTTGTTTTTAATGTATGTATGTGATTTCATTTGTACAACTGAGTAGAAACAACAAAAAATGAAAAATATTAGCAAAATCTTATGAAAACAAATCCTAAATTACTCAATAAATTTACATATATCACATTATATATAAGACTTAAACTAATTTTGTTTCTATTGTTTATTTTCAGGATAGATCAACACTTAGACAGTATTCACTAACAAAGCTTCAGAATTTTTTATCAGGCCGTTAAAGACAGGGGCATGGCAGTTGACAGGGCTTCCGTTGTGTATAGTGTCCCTCTTACAACACTCAAAGATCGAGTTAAAGGAAGAATCCACATTGACACTGTAAAGTCTGGTCCAGCTCCACTGTTTAGCCAAGGGTAAAAGCCAAACTGGTAGACCATGTTAAGATGATGGCAGCTTATGATTATGGTAACTCCAGGTCAGAAACTATTATGATGGCCTCTGATTTTGCCGTCTACCTCCAGAAACGGCCAAAAGATAAACCACTTACCAACCAGTGGTACTACAACTTCCTGAGTAGATGGTCGGAAGAAATAAAATTAGTTAAACCAATGGCATTGGAGGCATCTCGTACAAAGTCCGCCACAAAAGAAAAGAATGAGAGTTACTTGGAAGAGTTGAAGAATGTACTTGATAAATATGATTTTAGTAGCAAACCATACTGCATTTTCAACATTGATGAAAAAGGTTTCAATACAGAGCACAAACCAAGTGTTGTAGTAGGAGATAAAAAGTCAACTACACAATCAGTAACATGAGGGAGATCGCAAACAGTGACAGTAATTGCTGGTGGAAATGCTATTCCTTCTTTATTTGTGTTCCCAGGTAAAAGAATGTTAAGTGAATTACTAAGTAGTAGAATGCCTGGAACAGATGTTGGCGTCTCAGATTCAGGTTGGTCAAACACAGAACTGTTTCTCAGATATATGGAGGAACACTTCATTAAATATGTTCCATCTTGCAATGCAGACAATTCTATTTTGGTGATATATGATGGCCATGCATCTCATGTTTCAACTGAACTTTTAGGATGGGCCCGTTGTCACCTCGTAATCATACAACTTTTACCTGCACACTGTGGTCATTTTCTTCAGCCTTTAGATGTTGCCTGTTTTGGACCAATGTAAAAAATTTACAATAAGGAATGCCAGAGCTATGCATGCTTTATGCGTGCTAATATAGGACAAGTAGTCACAAGATACGAAATTTGTAGTCTTGTTTAAAAAGGATACCTGACGTCACTTTCACCATTGTACACCTAGTAACCTTCTGTCTTCCTTCAAGGGTATTAGTATTCATCTGTTTGATCCACTTGATAAGTCAGTACTGAGCCTATAATGTTGACATTAAACAATTCTACCTAGCATGTCTGATGATAATCCAGAAAATACAGTGTTCACACATTGGCTGAAGGGGACCATGTTGTTAACCAGGAAGATGAGAATGACAACCCCTTACAAGACTTAAACACATTCTTTACAAAACGCGTGTCAAAAGTGCCAACAAAAAAACATCAAAACCTAGGAAAACATTATTCAAAATTACAAGTGGGAAAGCAGTAACTGAAGATGAAACTTTCAATAAAATCACTGAATGTATACAGCAGCGACAACGTAAAGAAAATCTGTAAAAACAAGTAAGAAAGCAACAAAAGAAAAGAAAAACAAGTAACAGAAAAAGCAACGAAGCCAAAGAAATCAAAACTAGAAAAGCAAATTGATAGTCAGAGACCTTCAACATCAGAAATTATTTCAAGCGTTCATGGGCCACTGATAGTTAAGGACAGCTGTGAACTAACTGATTCTGATCATGACGGGGATAACATGCTGCGTCTGCAATTAAAGATACCCACACTCTTTAAGATATTGCATTTCACTTACTTTTGTTAACTGGGCTCGGTGTAATAAGTGTGATCACTAGACACAACTACGCTACTGTTCACCTGTAACTGTTGTGCAAACTAATTCAAAATTTGTATGCCCTCATTGTGACAGTGACAAGTAATTCACTTACATAACTTCTTGTGACACAAACAGCTGAATTCTATTATGGGCATTTGAATAAATCAAAACTTCACTTTTCATATTTATTACAAAGTGGTAATTGCTAATTTTTAACTTTAAAAAAATTAAAATATGTCATTACCAGTGATAAAACATGATAAAGTAATGTTTCTTTTTTCATCCACTAATAATGTGATACATGCCCACTATACCATACTTTTGAAAACTATCACGAACTGATGACGTAGTGCTCAACATGTCATAAACGTGTAAAAATACAAATGTTTTGTTTTTGTTCTGTGTTTCACAAGGAAAGCTGCAGGGTTTTGGGAAAAAATAAAGGCAAGTGTTTAAAAAAAACACGAACAAACTTGGGTATATTAATTAGCTGTACCTCAGTTACGATCAAATTGTTTGTTATGTTATCTAGACCCGATGACACCAGGATAATCGTTTAAAATCCATGCACTGTCACATTTGTTTTTCAATCACAAAACTATTAATTGATCCAAGTATGCAGTTTATAATTGGCAAAACTCCAATCAGATTATGACATATGACAGTTGTTTTCCATTCGTTTGATGTGTTTGCGTTTTTGACTTTGCCATTTGATTCATTAAAAAACTATCAAGAATTCCTTACATCGTTTATAATTTAACACTTATTAATAAGGGTAAAATATCTGACAGCGTGCCTTACACTCTTATATTATTTGACACTAATTGATAAGGGTATATATATGTATGTACAATGCATTTTAGCATGTATGTTGTTAAAATTAACCATTATTGTCCTGCTGATCGGAAAAAAAAATATCGTTGACAAATGGCTCAATCTATAAGAAAGTACCGAACGTATGCATACATTTTTCTCGCAATTTTCCATTTTGTTTATATTTATCCCCAAAAGTAAACACTCCGCGAAAATAGCTCGTTTTACGGTAAATCCTCTCACAAACATGACAAATGTAAACTTAAAGTCTGGAAGGTTTAACAGTTCCTGAATAAATATTCATTTTGTTTCTTATGTACGGTTATTAATTTTCAATTGATTTAAGCTGTGTCATATCATGCATTGTTATCATTATTCTGTTGATAGTATCGGCACTCTTATGTAGCTAATCATGTAATATGATAAGTCAGCGTTTCCTCAATATTACAAAAACTGCGTTAAACGCGCGTTTATTACCAAGAGAAAACGTGCGTATATAATAAGAATAAAAACGCGGAGGTGAACGTGAAAAATATCAATGTCTACTGAAAGAATGAGGTTAACACCGAGTTAACATGGCGTTTACATGAAGTGCACGTGTGTGAACTTATCGCTAATTTTTTTCGCCCGTTTACATGTTATGGTTGGTCTACAACAAAATGAACATAGATGTTGTTAAGTACATAATTTATTGCTTTGATCATCTCATCAAAGTTCCAGTTTGTATATCTAGCAATATATATAATCAGATTTATCTGTTTCCCTTGTATGACTAATACATAATCATGTCACTACTACACCCCAGTTAAATGCCTCCTCTGAATATGTGTAGACCCCCACTATGTCTTGGCTATCTAAACTACACAAAAATCCTTCAATTTTCGTTTCTTCTCGGCTTCTAGTAAATGTTCTATGAATAATTTCTCTGTGCTGCTAAATTGTTTCAAGACTTGTATTACAGTGTACATAGTCGAAAAACTGTCAACCTTATTAAATATCAATTAAAAGCACGTTATTTATTCAAAACATCCAAACCGTTTTTGACATCCAAATAAAAATTATGTTCATTGTTTTTATATGCTTTTTATATATTACAAATATATGTCCTCAAATAGAAGTAAGGGAACAAATGAGATACACTATGAGAAAAGACATTTAAAAAAACAGCGACATTATATAGTTTCCTTTGATGAGAGATAAGGATTTCATATTGCTGACAGATATCTTATGCCTAGGTCAAACATTCACGGATCACCTCGCCGGTTCCACTACGGAATTAATTAACGGATAATCCATGAAATGCAGTTTCCGTAGTCTGCAGATACCGATCCGATACGGATGCTCAACGGTGTGACTACGGGCTTTGACGTATATACCACAGGTAAGTAAGAAAGGGGTCATTTGGCGTCATGAGTGATACGGATTCTTATTTTGTTTTGTTTTATTAAATTATTTATCGGTCTGTCTGTACCAGGTGGTGTTCTTTGTAAACCTCGTACCAACGACATACAGCAGTTCTTGATTCATATTTGGGTCTATTCTTACAAAGTTCTTAAACGCAGATTTATTTTCCCCCATGAGGGCCTCATACAAGCCATGGATAAGTCTTTCGAAAAGCCAGTCCCTAGTCCACCGTCTCCTTTACGTCTGTAATCAAGTAGCCCGACCACTGTCCTGGCAATTTGTGCCATATCAATATCAAATTCCATTCAATTAATTGTAAGCATCAGTTGTTGATTGTTAATGTTGGATAATGTTATGTATACCTCTACGGCAAAACACAGACTACGTTGGGCCCTATAAATAGGGTATTTATACAGAAGCCTGATGCCAGTTTGTCGGAGAAGTAATAATCCGTATTTTGTTGTGTTGTAACGTAGTAAACCTTAAAAGACTTTAAGAATCATGGCTGATGCCTAACTATCCGTATTGCAACGTAATGAAATCGTGCCGTTCCGTGACAAATTCGTGACAAATCGCATTGTATCCTTAACAAATACATGGTATAACCGTACTAGTACGTAGTTCTCCGGAATTAACCGTAGAAATATTAAGGGCCTACGAATTAACACGGGTTTGATAGGGACTAAAACGGACCAGTACGTTCGAATACGGTTAAGTAAGGATATACTACGGTTGTTTGATCCTTAGTCAAATTTGGCGCATGTTCAAAAATTGTCCCGGATATACAAGTACTACTACGTATGACTACGGCTACAATATGGAAATCTACGGACCAATACAGATTGCCACGAATGATGCCGGATCGTATCAGTAGCTAATCCGGCGTCAAATCCGTGAATGTGTGACCTAGGCATTAAACAAAATGCACATATTTAAGTAATACAAACCACAATCAATAACGTAATCAATGTTTTAACTCTTTTGCAAACGTCCTTACGTAAACATTATTGTTTGGGACATAATGCAAAAACAGTAAGTCCTAATACTTCCGACAGTGTACATCCTCATGGTACTTTATCCATTTTAACCATTTCAAAATTTAAAGATGACCACATGTCGTAGACTAATTTGAATGACACTTAATTGTGAGCATATTATCTGTTTAACCGCAGAGTTACTTATATATCAACCATAATGAATTTGGTAATCATATTACACAAGTTTACGGAACAAAGAAAATGACGAAAAATGTGGCCTGCAGCGCCTAGCTATTGTCCGAACAGATGGGACAGTTTTATACCCGCTTGCCTAGACTTTATTTAAATTCATGTATACACACCAAATCGTGAATGAAACGTTTTCTAGGTTGGTTCTCTAACATTTAGAATAACTGTTCATTCGATGATCTTATTAGGAATTTGGTAAAATAAAAACCGTTTTTATGACTTTATAGGATAATCATCTTCGCTAGCCAAGGGTTACGATCCAGTCCGGTCCTCTCCACCCTTGGCAGACTAAGCAAACATTTGTGATGACTATACTGCGTCGTCTTCCGGTATATGAAAGTCATGCCCATTCTGACTACATCATTCTTGACCAATTGCAGCATTGAACTCTCTTCAGTGTGGAGGTATAAAAATGGTTGTGTCTAGTGTTCACAAATTTCGTGAAGCTGGAACCGAAAATATACGTTGACATTCCAACATTTGTGCGAGAAACATACAAGGGCACTTCAATTAGTTGATTAAGAATTTTAATTGTTTATTTACATTTACTACATTTACACGTGATCATCATGATCTTAGAGGCGTTTTTTGATAAGATGCAGCCATTTACAACTGCGACCAATGGAATTTATTACCTTGTGGATCTTAAATTCTATCTTAATATGCCAAGGGTGTAGAGGAGAGGACTGGATCGTAACCCTTGGCTATCGAAGATGTAGAATAATTCAAACTTTGACATTGAAACACTTTGTATAACGGAATTTGGTATTCTTCAATACAGGTTTGCCAAATACACACAAGTTAGACATGGTTTGTTTTATTTTTCTTTAAATTAGATTAACTTCCCTTCGGGGGCACGATTAACTGTGACAACAAATGATCAAAATCAGATGTTGTCCCCAGTAAATTTAGAGATACCATCAGACCACAAAGGATGCGCAGAAGGTCAGTGTGGGTCATTTGACGGAAGGTACATTGACCGAAATGGTAACAATTGGGCAAATAGCAAAGCTGCACTAAATAACGGAATATTTTCAAATTCATGGTTGTAAGTATTATCTTCAATTTTTTCAATATATCGTTTCTTAAGATTATTTGAATTTATATAAAAAAATAAATTATTTGTTGGTTACATTTGAAAGGACAATACATTTGATCATGGTTTAAAAAAAACTCATCTGTACCTCAGTGTAGAACTTAAATACTGAAGCAAGAGGCAAATATATAATTGTATGATAAAATTACGGACGATAACCACAACATTGCTAATACTTTTCAGCATACCAAGACCGCAGTCATTGTTTGACAAGAAATCAACAACAATAAACCCAAAGTACAGAATGGATCAACATGCGTTCTGTCAATGTGTTCAAAACACAACATCATGTACAGGTTCAGCTAAAAATCCGCTTAAAAATGTATGATTATTTTGCATCTAATCTAAAACAAGACATGATTATATTTTGTGTGGGAAAGCAATTGTCACCGGCGAATGTTTACATGATTCACACCAAACAGAAAAAAAGATACAAAATCATAGGTCATATGCAACAAACCTCACCATGGTCAAAATAAAACAAACACTACATTGTATGTAGGAAACCTAAACATAGGAACACCACAAAAAATTCGGAGGTGCACTCATGTGCTCCGGGGAAATTTCGGCAGCTTCTGCTCTAATGGTGACACCTTTCACATTACACTATTTATACTACATAGGTAAGTCATTTAAAGTGATAAAGCATCTCACTTTGGTGGATTGATACATGTTTCTTGTTTAACCATTTTGACATAATTAAATTTAAAAAGACAATCGGTACGTTTAAATTGTCGAACCCTTGAAATTGAGCAATTCTGTAAGTTAAAAAGTGATGATGAATTTCCAAATGAGAAAGGATAAATATCATTTTTACCAGTGGAAAGATCTAAGACATTCAAACTATCCGAAGGCATATTCAAACTCATTAGTCGAAAACAAAGTGACTATTTCATGGCAAAAAAACGGAAAACTCGAACAGACAACCAACAGTATACAAATACAACATACAAAACTAGACTAGCATCACAAACCCCACAAAAAAGTAGGATTGATCTAAGTTGCTGCGGAATGGCAAGCATATTCTCTTCCGAATGTGGCATCAGTCGTGCTACTAATGAAAGTGCAAACCCGGTTTCAAAATTATACATCAAAACCGATCTTCACAGTTACTGTGTAAATGTATATTCTAGGGGCATTTTTTATTCGATATGCATACTGTTAAAAAAAAGAAATTTAAATCTGTTATAGTTCAAGTGCCTCTCTTAGTGCAATAGTTATCCAACATCTTCTACATGTTCTAAGGTTGAAGACAGATTGAACAAAATATATACCCCATCATCGATTTACCAAAACGAATAGCAAACGTCTTGTTTAGGGAATTGACAACTTATTAAACAAAAGGTTATGAGAAACAGACTTCACTAAAATGCTTGATTTTCTAAATGAATATATATGTGTTACGTACCCTCTATTCCATCGTAGAGTATAAAAATTTCAGCTGAAATGATAATTTGAGACTTTTGCATTCTTTCACGATTGCATTGACGACAAACGCGTGCTGCTAACATGAAAGCTTTAAACAAACTTGATTTTGTTCTAATTGTAAAGTTAAAGTAGTTCTTACAAAACTTTTATGGACGTTATCGTGATATTATCTTGTGGTAACTACACTTTCCTCTTTTCTTGATTAGTGAGATAACCTAGTACAATTTAACTTTGATTTTGTTTCATGTGATGATACAAACAACATCGTCCTATTCCTGAGTAGAAATAACTCACCCTCTCTAAGGTTATGAGATCATACGCGAATGTATAGCCGTTCATGTTGCGCAATAATGTCAGTGTTTTGTGGGCTGTAATTTGTCAGTTCGTTCCTTATGTTTGTCTTGTTTGTTTTTTTCTTTCACCTGATGTATGTGATTGTCCCTGCTTTTGGATTATGTATTTACATACCTTACTATTATAAAAAGTGGATGATAACAAGTAGAAATGGTTTCAACTTTTAAAACAAAACAAAATTAAACAAAACCAAGACAATTTCCTAACCAAAAAACAGTAATACACTAGAACATAGAAATCATGAATTCCTTAATTGAATTCAAGATGTAATTTATATACTGTAAACCAAACAAGACTTCGAGAAAGATTTTTAATTTCTCGCCTTCCGCGAGTAAAAAAAATAAAGTGAAAATATATTGTCGCGAAGATGTAAAACTTAAGGAAAAAAACCAAATAAAATATTTATAATAAGCATCTAATTTTTCAGTTAGTTACCTTACGAATTTTGTTTTCCTTAATCGTTTGATTAATTAGGTATGACGATGATCTGCTAACATATGATCTTCGATATTAATACAAGAGAAGCGAAAGTTTCTTAACATGCTAAAGGGACATTCAAACTCATAAGTCATAAAAAAAATTACAACGCAATAGCTACACAAAGAAAAGACCAACAGACATACAACAATACTCAAAACACGACATAAAAAACTATAGACTGAGCAACACGAACCCCACCAAAAATTGGGGTTGATATCAGGTGCTCCGGAAGGATAGACAGATCCTGCTCCATATGAGACACATGTCGTGTTTCTCGTGTAATGCAACAAACATCGAAAGGAAAGCAATCGTAATCAGTGAGGAAGTAGGACCAAATGCGTCGTCAGAGTAATCATTTACTGCTGACGAAGCAATACCCTACAAATAGATCAAAATTTAATATTCAGTAATTAGGAAACTAACGAATGTACCTTGATGGACTTGTAGAATCAAAGGTTGACTCATCTTAAGAGAAGAAGAAAAGTAAATCGATACACATGTTTACTACTATCAGTTTTTTCATACTTGTTGGAAATCTAGACTTATTTCTATTATTTTTTGATTTTTATTGAAATTGTTCTGAGTTTGTAAGCGATCCTAAAGAAATAAAACTATTTGCATTTTCAGTAAAATAGAGATCTCAGGATAAACACCTGTTTTCTGAAATCTGTTCCTTGTTTACTTTTCGTTAAAAATCATTCAACTCAGGATTCATAATCGTTTTCTTTTTGAGGTATTTAATGGTAAAAAAGGAATACCAATTACGAGTAAAAAGAATCCCAGAAGAAAACGTAGTCATATTGAAGCAGCGGAAATGACTGGTAAGACACATTATTGTACATGTTGTATCTCCATTGTCTATATTTTGTGTTATCATTATTATATACTTCGATCACGAATATTGACGTTAAATAAAAACAAGCCTGCATTTTTGAAAGTCAACATTTGAGAACAGTATCTCCATTATTATTACCGATTATGGAATACAAAAAACGTTAACCTGTTAATCGGCCTGTTTTCCAATTTTATTGAATTTGATATACCTGTGATTGCAGTTATAACTAACTTTATCCTTATTCATAATTGTACTCAATGCAATTAATTGTCCAGATTATTTATAACTTGATTAACAATGTGAGCATTCCAATATTTGTCATAATTAGTTAGCACAAATAAAGGCAACAGTAGTATACCGCTGTTCAATTTTGTCGATTAGCTTGGGGCAAAATCTTACAGAATTTTGGGCTCTCCGTGCAACTAATAAGTCTAATAAGGAATAGTATTAATGTCGGATTGGCAAGACGATCACGTCGCTTTTCGAAAATTAAAAAAATGAAGAGTAAGTTGACAAATTGAGACATTGTAACAACTGACCTTTTTACGACGGCGAAATGATACTTTTTAAGTACCATTTGCATAAAATCTATCCTACTACTAAATCAGGTAATAAATCATCAGAGAATCAAACATCAAAAATATTTCATTTGTATATGGCAACTCCGCCTGCACTGTGACCAACCACCTAGACCACTTGGCCAACCAGACTATAGAAAAGATAGGTTTCATTAGTCGACTGATGCCTTTTATCGTCAGCTTTACCTAGGTTTATAACACTGTGCAGGATGTATAGTATCTTGTAGTTCGAATACTTTGCAGATCAGCTTTTTTGTCAGTCTTCATGGATGATTAATTCACGTACTCACCATGTAGTCACATCAATATGTTTCTAATATATACGTCTAAATATATGATCTCTCTATGACTGGCGTTCTCAATCTGATAACCAAGGGTGACCTAGGGATGGCACCAGTTATAGCATATACTTCGTTTCAAATTCATCCAATCAATGTTATATCTGCAAATTTAAATAGGACCAACAAAAGCTGTAATCATACTATGGAGTATAAAATTCATCAAAGAATATTATTGTACTCTTCTGTAGCATCAAACTATAACTATTAAATATATTACACCATGTCTACCTTTTCATTCACAAAACTTTTGCTAACGGAAAACTACACGTAAGCGAAACATTTTTTTGCGGATTATGCTCATAGTACAATGTAGTAAAAATAACCTTCTCAATTTTGACCCTTTTGCACGTCGAAAGAAATTAAAATTTCTTTTCCCCGTCATTTGCGTAAAAAGATAGTGTATATCGGTTTCCGTTTGCATTTCGGATAATCTACAACAAACACCTCAGAACCTGAAACAAAAACATAAAAAAAACATAAAAGTGCAATTACCTCGTGTATATAAAAAAAAAGTAGATGTGGTGTGATTGCCAATGAGACAACTCTTCACAAGAGACCAAATGGAGCAGAAATTAACAACTATAGGTCACCGTATGGCCTTCAACGATGAGCGAAGCCCATACCGCATAGTCAGCTATAAAAGGCCCCGTATGTTGTTTAGACTAATAAAACAATTATCAAAAGATTTTATACAATTTTCTTCTGTGGGAAAAAAAAGGAAAATTACTTTCAAGTGTTTAGGAATGTTAGTTCCGTTGCATGACATAGTTCAATTCATGATTATTTTTGTTTTAATTTTCAAGCTGGTTGGTTAAAAACTGATACGTAATGTTTATACGAATAATGTAACAGTTGTTTAGCATTGCTCATGGCACATATTGGCATCGGTTTTTAGACATAGTGCACTCCGTTCTAAACTTGGACTTTGTTATTTTGGCGTCGGGGCCTCGGTTGCCGAATGTTCTAAGCATTTTTATAGTTATCAGTAGCCTGTAAACATTTTAGTTGTGAGTTGAAACGTCTCTCATAGCAAGGTGCTTTCGACTTCGATTGTCATTGACTGGCACCGACAGTTTCTTGGTATAAACCTGGTTCTCTCCCGGTAATCAGACTTCCTCCCCCATGGCCAATTTGAACTAGACGCTACGAATAAATCAATTCATTTTGGCAACTATTTCAGCATAAACAGTATCATATAAGTCAATAACCATTAGACTTGAGAGATAACTGTATTGTTTTTGAGCTTTGCCTACGTCAAACGTTGGTTTTATTGTCACAAATTGAGTTTACCTAGAAACGCATAGCGGAGATCGTATACGGATATTTGCGACAGTAAATCCAAGTCTGACGTAGGCAAAGCTTCAAATACAATCCGGGTGTATATATTCTAGTGCAAAATAAACAAATTAGACCATTTCTGTCATCACTTCGGTGTAAAATATCCCAAAACGAAAATTCCCTGAACTGATGTTATCATCTTTGGCAAAAAAAACAAGTTGACGTCATATATAAATAAGAAGATGTGGTATGAATACCGATGAGAAAACTCTATATTCAAGTCACAATGTATAAAAAGTTAACAATTATAGGCCTTCAACACGGAGCCTTGGCTCGCAACGAATAAAGGGCCCCAAAATGACTAGTGTTAAACAATTCAAACAGGAAAAATATGCATGTCTCCGAGTCAAATATAAACACCAGACGTTTTCAAGATTTTTGTACGACTCAGAATAGAAAAAAATTAGATAAAAAGAAAAAGTTTAGCTGATAAATGTGAGTTTGTTATTGATCATTGTACAAATAACATGTCAATACATTACAAATCAAAAAGTGTTGTCATCCAATCAAAGGTTTTGATACAAAATGATTGCATTAAAATAAAGTGTTATTCTTATATTATTACAGTACATTATTTAAGGAAAAGATCACTGCCGACCTGGCCAACAGCAACAGGAAAAACTCTGTCATATGCGGTTGAATTATGCAAAATCGCTTTTCAAAAAGCCTCTTTATATCCATATTGCAAGGTAAATGTTGATGGTTACACTGGAATGATAGAAGGTTGCACAGAAGATATCAAAGTAAGTGTATATTAATAGAAATAAATATTATGCAGCATTTAATTAAGTTGTAATTTGCGCACCATTTCTTATACCCTTTGAGCATTTTTTTACATGCTTTAGACGTTGGTTCATGTACGTCGATTTACATTAATTGTTTGGTTATAAATAAGGCCGTTATTTTTTTTTTTTTTTTATTTGTCAATTGAATCGTATCATAATTTTCAGGTCGGGGCCTTTTATAGCCGACTATACGGTATGGATTTTTGTCGTTAATGAAGGCTGTACGGTTACCTATAATTGCTTACATCCACTTCGATTGAACTTGGATAGATAGTTTCTCATTGACAACCATACCCGATAGCTTTATTTTTATATTTACTAAAATAGAGTTGGTATACTATTTTCACATTTTTATATGTGACCATTTTGCACTGTAATCATCGACACGAAATTTATGCGACACAATAATACACCATTCCCCCTCAATAAAGTGTATACTATATGCCAGGCATTCTATATGGTATTCTATTTTAGAAAGAATTTTAAAATCAATATAAAAGATAACTCTAACAATCTGGCATCGACATCAAAACGAATAACGAGTTAGAGAGTAAATATAATATAACAAAGGGTCAGTAACCCGCTGACAAAATAATGAAAAAGCATTTATTGGCAATAGACAATCATGTATATAGAAACAACCACTGACCTGTCTACACCCTTGTATATTTTGTAGCTCACGGACAGTCTTAAATTCTTAGATAATTACGTTTCTGTCTACAATGACGCTTGCCAAATAACCATTGCTGGTGATACAAAATACTACGTCATGGGAAAAAATGGTCAGTTAGGACTTCCCTTTTACGTTACTTCCGATATATGTCCAAATGAGTGTAGCATGAGAGGGCGGTGTCATCAAGGTCAATGTTTATGTAACATAGGGTACCATGGTCCGGATTGCGCAGTAAAAGTTGGATCAATTCCATTCATTCATTTTATTTATGGGTATGTTAAAGAACCATTGAAGATTTTCACAGCATGAAATGTCGCAATTACCTTTTGAAACACACCAAATGTAAACGCAAAAATTGGTTCTATCAATAATAACATATTTGATTATTGTTTTCGTCAAAGAACCACATTTGATTTAAAACAGACAACTGTACTCAATTTTGTCACTTCAAAAAAATGAATATCAATGTCTCGCTCAAACATATGCAATTTATCACTCAAAATAATGTTTACACAAGACAAATCTTTTACTATGTTCATAAACATTAAGATGTTTAAAACTTTATTCGCAGAGATGATGACGTTGATGGTTTGTGTGATATTCGGCGGGAAAATTGTCTCACATCGTATATTGTAGCAGATAATATTATGTTCAGTCCTAGTCTGCTTTGTCGTGTACAGTATTTAACGGTAAACATTAAAGAAGACCTTTTACACAAGTCATTTTAGGACCCTTTATAGCTTGCTGTTCGGTGTGAGCCAAAGCTCCGTGTTAAAGGACGTGCTTTGACCTATAATTGTTTACTTTTTACACATTGCGGCTTGGATAGAGAGTTGTCTCATTGGCACTCATACCACATCTTCTTATTTATGTTTCTTAAATTTATAAAATATATCTTTCGTTTTACGTATTTCTCTATATACATGATCGACAATATTAATCTTAACTATAATTCGATCCGAAATTGGTTAAAAGGATGTTATAAAGTTTATTTACAAGACGTTTGTGATGTCTTAACTCGGCATATTCACTCTCAAAACTATTGTAAATCAAGATGAGAAATGTAAATGTTACACATAAGTTTTCAGAAAACAATAATTATTATATGTTATTCGTGTAAAGAGGTCTTTTCACTTTTCCCTAACATAAAAAGATAAAGTATATACTGTACATTACATTTTAAGAAAAGAGGAGGGGGGGGGGGGTATTCATATCTTAAATTTCCGCATTATGATTTATAAAAAAACATCATTCGTTATAAATTTTTACTTCAGATTGAAAATAAAACATTAGTAGAGGACAAAATAAAAGGACATTTCATGGTAGAAGGTATATTCACAAGTTTTAATGAGTTGGAGTGTCCTTTACCGTTATCAGATGTATCTAAAGGTAAGTTTATAGTAAATGTAAATTCAAAATAAAAACAGCAACTAATAAGGGTCTGGATGGGATTTACAGAACAGAGATTAATGGGTAAAAAAGTGCAAAAATAAGAGCAAAAAAAAATAAAGAAAAGAAAAATATAGGCCAACAAATAAGAAATAAAGAATAAAAGGGTGCTAAAATATAAAGAATAGAAAAAAGCAAGCAAAATGTATAGAAAATAGAGATAAATGGCGTAAAAACATAGATGAATGCAGAATTTATGGACCTCCAAAATAGACCTTCACATATAGCTTACATGTTTAGAAATGGCAAAATTGTTTAACTAATTAAGACATTGCCTTGGTGGTCTTGTTGTAGCTTGATCGCATCGAATGCTGTTGTTCATTTGATACATTACTGAACCAAACAATTTTATTTAAAGTTGGTGTTTGTCGCTTTACCGCCAATCACGCGGCACTAAGGTGTAAAAATAAAGCCTTCTTAGTTATTACGTATAAATAAGCGTGTCAGCATCAATTGTTGGCCGCAAAAATACAAATCGGATAGGATACGGTAAAATGCGTTCTATTTTGGTGATACGTTGTCTGTCGACACCTTGCATGTTTAAACAAGTGTGTTAGGTAATTACAAAGCAGGGTATAGTTATAACTAATAAACATGGTATCATATCGCATATGCGGATTATATTTGCCCATGAGCATAGGCCCATGGAACTTTGCAACAGCAATATCTTGATGAAAGTCAATGATTTGTTTGAGACAAAACTTTTTTTTCGGTGAGAACAAATCAAAACCATATATTTTATTGTTTCTATCAAATATTTGAATCTAGCCAAAAACGTATGTCAAAAGAATAATTCATGTAGCAACTACACTTTTAATGCTTTGGATTTGGTTAGTATAATGTTTTTTTTCGAAATTCCTTTTTCTGAATATTTGTCAAGTGTTTAAACAATACCTTTTTAAAGTAAACAAAAAAGATGCTTTGGGAAACTTAATAGGTCGTTAGGAAAATATTAAAATCGATACTGTTCATTTCGTAATCGGATTTTAAAAAGTTATGCTAGCAGGAACACTAACTATAAAGAGACGGATATGGAAAATTAAGCGTAAGGTGGATGCTTTGTTTTATAAAACTGTAAACAATCAAGAATCAAATTATCTATATGACATATGATAACAAGCAAAAGTACAAAATAAAAAAACGTTTTAAGGGTTAAGCTTATCAGATCGATACAAAACACCCAAAAGACCTTAAAAAAACAACATTGATAGATCTGAGAGTACTTGCAGTTACTGATAGAAGATTATGAGTTTGAAAATCCCTTTGGCATTTTATTTAATGAAAAAAGGCAACAGTAGTATACCGCTGGTCAGTCGTAACTCACACTTACCTTTTGATAATATTTTTTTTAAACACTTTGAGGTCGCAATTTATAATGACTAGTGATTATCTTATAGATACTACTAAACGAGAAACACTTATGAACCACGTAAACAAACGACAACTACTGACATCAGATTCCTGACTTAGGAATGGTGCAAACAATCGCAGCGGAATTAAAATTTTTTAATGGTACCAACCCTTCTCCCTTATCTTAACTAATATTGTCACAGCACAACATAGAAAGACACACTATAAAATATCAATTGGAATGGCTTAACTCAATCAAAAAACGTAGTATCACAAATTAACACACAATGAACGAATAAATTTGATCTATGATACAATGTAAATACAAAGTTAATAAAAATAAGGAATGAATAATTAAAGCAAAAGTATTATACCGCTGTGAAATGTTAAACAATTTCAGAAAAACATCAACTTTGAAAATTACACAGGTAAATGAAAATAATTTTGTTGTTAAGTATACTTCTTCTTCTGTCTGTATAATCTTCCGTTTAGGAATACCAAGACATTTTTTGAATATCAATAAAACTAAAACTTGGTACATGTGGGGTGAATATCAACAATACAACTATGAAATTGGTGCTCGATAAAACTTCGTGTTCTTCATGTACAGGTTCCGGAACAGTATAAAAGGAGAAAGGAAATAATTTTGATGTTCATAGTACGAAGAAGTGCAAATTTGTAGAAATTCCAACAATCAAAGCTTGTATATAGACCAGATATATGTTAACATTAAATAACAAAAAAGCATTACAAATAGTATCAAAAGGTCAAATTATCAAGAAAGTACGATTTGAGAGTACTCGCAGTTACTGACAGCTAGTTCAAAGCCAAAACAATTAATAATAAAAAAATCATGCATCAGAGACTAAAATCAACTAAAACACATCCCAGGGATTTGGTATTTTAACGTCATGGACAGTCAAAGAAGACATGACTTGTGCAATGTCAAAAATAAATGTATCGATTGTTTATTTATTTGTATCAAAATGTAAACTCATGTCTGCCTTATTATGTTTTGGCTAAGTTCAAACTAGAGGTGCAAAACTTATGCCATCGTTTCGAAACTTCTTTATTTGTTGTAAACAGCCGGGTTATGTTAATATAATAATAGTAACATATATTTTAATATACGTTTTGCAATATGGTCTAAATGATAAGTATAACACTTTCACGTTAAATATAATAATGTTTTCTAGAAAAGAATATCCCGAATGTCATGGTTGTTCATCTGAGTCGATCATGAGAGCTAATATTTTATCAATTATTATCTTCACAGGTGCATTGATTGGTGGATTTAAAATAAGTATCACCACAGACGGTCTGCATTATAGCAACGAAGACACTTTAATCATATATGACTCATTGTGTCAAGAGTGTAATGCAGGTGGCGATTGCAAGCTGAAGGTATTGTGCAAATATTGATATAAGTAGATATAAGAAGATTTGGAATGAGACCCAATACGACAACTCTCCATCCAAGTCACAAACCGTAAAAGTAAACCACAATAGGTTAGAGTACGGCCTTCAACACGGAACCTTATGTCAAACCGAACATAGCCCCAAAAATGACTAGTGTAAAATCATTCAAACAGGAAAACCAACAGTATAATCTATATTAAAAACGAGAAACGAGAAACACTTATGAACCACATCAACAAACGACAACTTCTGAACATCATGTTCTTAACTTAGGACAGGTACAAACAAAAACAGCGGGTTTAAACGTTTTAATAGGCACCAACCTTCACCCTACCTGAAACAATAGTATAACATCACAACATAGAAAGATACACTCTAAATATCAATTGATATGGCTTAACTCAATCAAAATGCATATTAACAAAAACAAGTGAACATACACTGAACGAATAAATTTTATCTATGACACAATGTAAATCTATTTACCTCAATGTGTTTAGTTTACAGTTGACAAAAATATCGAATTATTGTATGAAACTAAAAAAAAAACTGTACCACCATAACTCTTCTTGACATCTTAACACACACGATAGGTTTCTGTATTGAGCTGGTCTTGAAGGTCCAATATGAATAAGCACTAACTTGGGCAGTCTTAATTTGAAATAAAATCTATTACAATTTCATGCAAATGACAGATAAATATGCAGAAATCCCACATTTACTATGTCTGTAGCCGTAAGTGGTCTGTCACCATACTGGATATAAAATGATATCGAGTCCAAGCTTTTTTTGCCAGGTTACTTTAGACACAGTGCTATTAAGTTTCAGATATTGGTCACACTGTTTTGTCGCTATATATTTTCTTAAAACAATTGATTTATAATGATTATGACATACATGTTCAATAGAACAGTAGTTCTTGTGGTTTTTTTTGTATCAACATTACACTTATACAACCAACATAATTGTGGATAGTCAGCATGTTTGAAATATCTGAGCCTTTTCAAAAGTCAATACATCATTTTTTATCTAGCCCAATACATGTGAAATAGATGGACAATGTAGACAAAAAGGAGAGCAGAATTCGGAACAACACATATGTGAACCATCTGTTAACCAGCTTAAGTGGACAACAGACCAACGAGTAACTGGTTTGTATTACGCATATACATCGTATATATCAAATAGTTTAAGGTAGAGAGAGGCAAAAGATACGAAAAGGACATTCAAACTCGTAAATCGAAAAAAAACTGGCAACATCTTGGCAAAAAACAACGATCAGATCAAAATGACACACAAAACTATACAAAACACAATATGGAAAACCAAAGATTGAGCAACAAGAACCGAATCGAAAACCGGAGATGATCTCAGATGCTCCGGAAGGGTTGGCAGATCCTGATCCACAGGTGGCATCAGTTTATTTTGGGAGGTTAAATTTGAGGAAAAGAGGACGGGATTGTGGCCACAACAACTGGAACATATCAGTCGTCAACTGTGAAACATATTCCATAACGATCATCCAACTCGTGATGGCGACCTCGAAAAATTTGAAGGGATCTTTTTAATTCATCGTGCTTAATAGCTTCTTTGTGAGCGCAACCCTATATTAAGTAAATCACGGCAGCAAATGCAAGCTCTGGAATATTGTATCAACTGGAATCAGATTATCCATATACAGTCGCTACTGGAATGTAGTTTCATAGAAAAGGAAAGTTTACGATTGGGCAGCTGAAATCATTTCTTTTGTCGTAAAAATTGTGTTCGTAAAAGACCACCGCTGCCACTTTGTAGATGAAAGTCAAGATACGACATGTGCGCAGCAGACTTAGTTGTATCTTTCAATACGATTAGATAGGTTCAATTAATAGTCACCAAATTTTAAAGTATTTAGTGATTGAACATCTTTTTTAAGGCGAAAAGTGATGTTAAATGATAATGTCATTTTCTTTTTATTCTTCCTGTATAAAGTCAGTCTCGTGTAAATAAAGGAAAAACTTGACAAGAAAAGACCACAGTAGGGTCCAATTGGACCGTCGATTGTTTGCTGAAAAAAATCACGTATTCCAAACGTAACACATATGTTGTCAATCACGAAATCAATCATATTAATAATGTCAGTTTCAGCCATTGTTTGTGTGAATCAGAGAGATTTTTTACAAACGTAATTTGTTCTATCCTAAGACAAGATATTTCTTTCTAAGTTAGTCAATTTGTTTCTTTGAAACAAAGCAGAACCAATAGTTCAATTTATCTTTTAGATTAGAATCAGGAATACTTGTGTAAAGGGTAGAAAAGTCAAACGCTTGTTTAATAATATTGCAAAAGGAAAAAACTTATGTAGTCAATCAGATGTTTTGGAATTTTTAGTAACCACATCTTATTCATGCCACTTTTAGAGTTGTACTTTCACAATCAATTTGATGAGCGACTTTAATAGCTGAATAATTTAAAAAGTGGTTCGATGAAGCACTTGAAAGACATTATAATAAAACATTGTTTTGAAAAAAAAACATTTATGTAATTGAAGTTGAATTGGTTTGCGTTGCATCTCTCTGATTTTTTTCCTCATACACATATGGCCCTTTTGGTGTTGAATTAAGTGTTTTCTGTATTTCACTTCGAAGTGATGTGACTTAAGAAAGAATTAGTCTAGCAGAAACGTGCACGAATAGTAACTAGTTGTGATCATTTATGTTTCACTTGGGATCTCCAAAGATGAGTGAGATTTGTAAAAATATTTTTGCTCTTTATTAGATATCGGGGTTTATTACAACATCGATATTTCAGTGTGTGCAATGAATAATGAAGGTGATTGTGCAAGTTTCCTGTGTTAAAACAGGAATCCCTACTACTGTTGTAAATTTCCTATTAGCAGTAGTTATAACTAGCTAACCAAATCGTATGTCAGGTCACAAAAGGACGACTGATTAACAAGTTTGTAATTTATGAACATCATATTTCATTAAACATACTGATAACTCTAACTTAAATGCAAGAAATACATTGTTCACTGGTAACATGTTGAGTTACATGAAATCTTATACATGACCTTATAATCTGTTTCCAAAGATCAATTTTACACCTATAATATTTCTATGTATTGATATTATTTTAAAAACATCTTAATTTAATCCATTTGTTTGATTTTGATTTATTGTAGAAATAGATCATTTCACAGCAAGCCTAACCGGATGTTTGTGTGTTGATGATCCTGGATCTTTTTCTTGTGCTTGCTGTCAGAATGCAGGTTGTCCATGTGCATCTCTATCACCTCACCAGTGTGTTGATTGCAAACACCAGGATGAATGTGGAAAATATCCAGAAATTTTCAACATTTAGGAACTTAACACCAGTTTTAAATAGTAAATTATTCAACATAGTGTTATTCTAATTTTTACAGTTGTCTTTGTTTACCATATTACTGATCTATTATCAAGACTCACATACGAAGACTACTTGTTTTTTGTTCTGTTTTTCATTTTGGTCTCTCTCTTCGTCTATCCCCTGTGCCTGTCCAACGGTTAAATTCGGAAAATACAAGTTAAGTTTAATAAACAGACTGTTAAGCTTGTATGTCTTATGGTGCAGAAATAGTTTGATTGTGCATGAAATTATAATAAGGGTTTTTTTGGAGCACCCAATAAGGACGGGTTTTACTTCAAAATATCATTAAAAATATGGTTATGCTAGGCTTTTGGGTAGATCAATATGGATTGACAATAATCCCAAATATACGTGAGTAAGTTTACATATTTAATAAATCCTTTGAAATGGGATTCCTGAGCAAGAGGCCAAAAATTGAGAAAATTACATGATATTTCTAAAGGGTTTTTTTCAGGAATTTTGAAGCACTTAAATCGTTATTATAAAGGTAAGGCTGGTCAACTGAACCCCTGCCTTTTTATTTTTGAGTATACCCCTAACGGGCAGTTAATTGACTTTTGAAATTATAAAGTTTGGTTTTTTTTTCGATGTATTATAGAAAAAATATAAACGTCACAAAAATACGTCACTTGATCCTTTCATGTGACGCGCAGTTTATAATTTGTTTGTGGTGTAATGGTGTGCTGTCGTAAATTCATTGGAGGTGTCCACTGTTATTCTGCGGTTTACATGACGTAATGTACAATAATATTATTTATTTATGTATTTCCCTATGCTGAGTGTTCTTGCATTTGTTTGTACTGCATCCGTATCAGGTAGTGGTGTCGTTTTAGCGGTATTTTATACATCGCCATATCAGCGGACAGTTTGGCTAGCCATAAAACCAGGTTAAACCAACCATTTTGACTTAAAATGTCGTGTACCAGTCAGGAATATGGCAGTTGTTATCATTTCTATGTATGCTGGCGTTTGTTTTGTTTTTTGTTTTTTTTTTTGTTTTTTTTTTTGTTTTTTTTTTTTTTTAGCAGGTCAGTGTTTCTGTTGTCCCTTTGTTTTCCTCTTATAATTGATGTGTTTCCCTCGGTTTTAGTTTGTTACCAGGATTTGTTTTCGCTGAATCGAGTTATGACTATTGAACAGCGGTATACTGCTATTGCCTTTAATTTTCCTGTCATAAATTTGGTCTTAAGTCCGATCTGATCTTTTGGGTTGCATTTTATCAATTCCCCCGCTGTATCACTGTTTTCATCAAGTTTTCTTTTTGAAGAAGTCACAACAAAACCAAAAAAGACTCAAAGACTCATACAATTTACAACCTATGTTTCAAATATACATTCGCGAGTTTCCTGGTATCTAGTACGACGACCGGTGAAATCAAGTGTGTAGAATTTAAATAAACACATAAATTTCCTAAAATATGTAAAGGTTGCTTTTATATTTTTTTTCCAAAAATATGAAAGTCCGTTGGGTGAAAATAACTACCATCAGGAAGGTCCAACCCTGGAAATGAAAGGTCATAGACTACGGACCACCGCTCATTTGAACCCCTTGCTTAAGAAATCCGATGAACTAGGTATAACTTGAAGTTGTCACTACACATAGGCAGTCATATACATATATATATAAATCTGTTATAGTATACTCTGAGTCTAAATCCCTTACAGTGGTATAAACAACGTTTATGTATCTAGCCTTTATTCTAGATATTCTCATTCTTAACAAAAACAAAAATTGAAAGAATCAAACTTTATTTAAGAGAATAGCTGCCAAGGTTCAAATATCTTTTTTCCCACATGTTTTATGTATCTCCTTTATATGAGGCACATTTCATACACGAGCTTCTCGGGGACTTCTCCTTTGCATTCACGTTCCATTATATAGATGATGAATTTAAATAAGAAGGAATGAAAAGGCCACTGTTTAGCCCATAGAATTCAAAAATCAAAAAGTACTACAAATTCTCGTAATTACATCATTCTGATCTTCATCAATCATAAGCTTGGCGGACATCAATATTTTTTTTCCATTTTTTTCTCACATATGGGCATTGGGGCTTAACACTTTTTATATTTAGTGCAAACCAGCAAAAATTGACATAATAACCACAGTGTGGGATATTGTCATTGATATGTAGACATGCACAAGAACTTTTTCCAAACGAAAGTTATTTGTGACCCATTTTGAAATTGATGAGTTTTGATTTTGATCCCTATGAAGTCTATGGCTAAAAAGAGGGCCGAAAAATACCAAAGGGATATTGAAACTCATAAGTCGAAAACAAACTATCAGTGTCATGGCAAAAAAACGAAAAACGATTAAAGGACATTCAATATTATAGAAAACATAAAAAAAGAAAACTGTAGACTGGACAGCACGAAGCCCCCTTCCCTTTTTTCTTTAAAGCCGGGGTATCTCAGGTGCTCCAGATAGTAAGGAGACCCTACTCTAAATATGGCACCGGTCGTGTTGCTTATGTTATAACAAACCCGGGGATAAGTTTAATTCGGTAGGTCACATTCGACGAAAGGAGGACGGAATTGTGATTATGACAAATGGAACATATCCGTTAATAAATTCATTGTAGCGTCCGTTAAATATTTGAAGGGATGATTCAACTTCACCACTTATAACTCTCGGTGTAATAGCTTGCCAGTAAGATGCAACCCACTATCAAGGAAATCATTACAACTGCAAAAACACCTCTTATATTTGTTGAAACCTTTCTTAAAAGACTTAGTACTTAAATTTGCTTTAAAATGATCTGGTGATCTGAGGGTTTATTAACAACGACCTAATGGTACTACTGTGGTCCCATACATAGTTTAATCATTATAAACAAACAATGACTTCTGTATGCTTAAACACTACTAATTTGAAGGGATGTTGTCTCATGGACATTAATAAATCCCACATCTGTTGATTGAATACATTGTTAATGATACATGTATAATTGATATGAATTTTTGCACATTTTCCTATCTGGAAGCATTTAATGTACAAATTTGGTATAGGATTTGCCTATTGTTGAAAGCTGTAGAGTGACCTGCTATAGTTCACAGCTTTGATCTCATGTCTAAAAATGGATAGTTATCACATTTGCAGTCATACCACTTCCCCTTAAATATCTTACATTATATATTGTTGAATTCGGATTTTGTCAGCTAGAAATTAAGACTCATTCACAATTATTACTCCGGTGTGCAGGGTGTTAGTATACATGTCGGTTGTTAATCCTTGATATTCAATACTAATTGTTCTATTGACATAATAAGATACTGATTCTGAAAGTTTAACATTTTATTCAAATACATATACATATATTTTATAGTGTGTCTTTCTATGTTACGATGTTAAACTATTATTTCAGGTAAGGGTGAAGGTTGGCGCCTGTTAAAACGTTTAAACCCGCTGCATTTGCTTGCACCTGTTCTAAGTCAGGAACCTGTTGTTCAGTGGTTGTCGTTTGTTGATGTGGTTCATAAGTGCTTCTCGGTTTCTCGTTTTTTATATAGATTAGACCGTTGGGTTTCCTGTTTGAATGGTTTTACACTAGTCATATTTGGGGCCCTTTATAGCTTGCTGTTCGGTGTGAGCCAGGGCTTCGTGTTGAAGGCCGTACTTTGACCTATAATGGTTTACTTTTACAAATTGGGATTTGGATGGAGAGTTGTCTCATTTGCACTCATACCACATCTTCTTATATCTACATACATATATAATACATTCAATGTCAGAGATAATGACAGCTTTATTAGACAGATTTAGATAACTTAGGAAGGCACAAACAGATAAAACTTAGGAAGGTAAAGAAAAAGATAACTTTGGAAGGTAAATTAAAAAGAAAACTAAGTTGGCAGAGGAAAGCAAAACTAAATCAACAAACACTAATAACTGCTGTTTCATGTCCCGCATATTTTCTCAGGATGTGAACTTTCTTAAATTTATGCCAAATTAGGATTTTAACCCCAATTTGATGGTTCAATCTGTGATTATCTATAGCAGAGAGTGTCTTCTAAACATATTTTCTTGTTAATTCCTTTAAGGCATGTACGAAATATCAGCAACCGCAAGAAATTTTTACTAAGTAATTATTTTTTGGGGAATACGTCAGTTCTCCTTTCTTGATATTTCAGTACTTATATTTTTTAACTTCAACATTAGATATGAATATAATTAGAATATTCAAAATTAAATTTCAACAAAATCATGAAATAGACATTCAATTAAATTAACTGGGGTACTAGGATGTAAGATGTAAGATGTAAGATGTCTTCGCCTCACAGAACAGAATGACTAGCATTCTTATAAACAATGATAAATCGGAGTGTGCTATATCGTATTTCCTCCGGCAACACATCATAACTAGCAATCACATAAATGGGTACTTAGTGTGCAATACCGTCTTTCCCCAGCAAAACAGAATGACTAGCATTCACATACACATTTATAAATCTGGTTGATTGTCTACGCTTCCCCAACAAAACAATTATCAGTGCTTGAAAATTTGTGTTTAGTTTTCAGAAGCAGATCCTGATCTAATGGGCTGATTAATATATACATATAGGTGGTAGTATTTGCTTCCAACGTTTTAGGTTGCTCCTTTGTGTACCCTACTTAGGTGAATACTTATGAACACTGTGATTGGACAATGAAATGGATTATCAACCAGAAACATTTTTTTCAAGTATTTTAACCAATAATGAGTATGAAGAATACCTATTTTTTTTTTTTATCTAACTATAGAAATAAATTTTTGACAACTTGTTAAAAATATTACATTTACTGCGGCCAAATATGATGTAAATGACTGGTTCCCTTAGACTGGTCACAATAACTAAAAAAGTAAACGGTCATAATGATGTTTCTCATTTATTTCTGAAAATCTGAATGAAAGTACTTCAAGTTACGGTAGGTTTTGGGTTTTGAAAGTAATGAAAATTTGTAAAATGTTACTATTGTCGCCTATGGCAGGGAAATACTATCGTACCACCTATACATGCCATATCAATTTCTAATCTTGCATAAAAGCATAATTTAATAGGTTCAAGTGATCTGGATTTAATGATACTTAAGCCTCATAAATAAAATTAAAGTATAAACTAAACAGAATTTTAAAAAAACTAAGATTAAAACAATTTAATAAAGAATAAAAAAAAAACCATCAAAACGTTTTAACGTTTTAAGTAAATTAAACTAGTCTGGAAACAAACAAATACATGAAACAAATAATTATTAGAATATGTTCCGTTTACATGAATTTAGAGATAAATGTTCATATTATTGACATCAAATATCTCGTAAGATCATCTCTAGCTCCATCTACAAGTGATTTTTCTGAAATGGAATATGTTGTGCTTCCTTGATGTTCTGAAATAACATGAATAATGTATATGAATATGAATGAGTACTTCAAATATTTGTAAAGGTTGTCAGTCTCTGTAATATATTAAATTTGGATCCAAAAAGCAAATAAACATGCAAGTCAAAACTATATACACTTATATTTATTTAAAAGTTATAAATTTTGTTCACGCTGTGCATTATATTTTATACCTATATTTACCAAAAATGTAGTGTATGCATAAAATAATACCTACAATTAGCCGCAAGATAATATCAACATTGTATAAGCATGATATGACTATATATATCTTCAGTAATGCACAACATTTAATTAGTATCAACTACAAAATAGCTCTATTGATAAAACATTTAATTATTACATGCATTTCAAATATGAATTATATGAATGACAGATGTCACAGAAAACAACATTTCATTTGTATCATTATCTATACAAACTATTCACAAATTTGCAATCTGACAGGAATAATTAATTTTACATCACTGAGTCGAAACCTCCGCTGGTCGACTGTGAGTCCCCAAGGGTATCATTAGCTCAGTAGTGAGTACTTCTGTTCTAAAATTATTTAAAACAATCCTTTTCAAAATTGTCGGTTTATAAATTTTGAAATTATTTAGAAACTAAGGTTTCAACTTCCTCAGGCAAGGTTGACCTTAGATAATTTTTGCTATTTCTAGGTCCTTTTTTGTTATATAGCTCTCCAACTATTTCGATTTTTATTCACCCTTGGCTTTTAAATATTTGGCATTATATTCCTATATGGAGTTATCTAATTTCAGAACGATAGGTCATTCTGTGTGAGGTCATTATTTTCCTTGATTAAAATGCAAACTATAATTTACCTCAACATTTAATTTGTTTGATAGTTTGTTTTTGCCAATTGGGGGAATTTATTTTTTTTAAGTTCCATCTACAAATCGTAAATGACGCGCATTTTAACTTAAGAAACAAATAATGTGAAGTTTTGTTAAATGTATCGCTACAATAAAGGGACATTATCATATATGTGAGATAAATTTAATGTAAAACTGTTCATAACACTTTAAAATCAAGCCAGATTTACATGTAACACATGCAGGATTATTACTTATTCATACTGTGACCTACATATTGATATTCGTTTTCGTGATAACTATAAATTTTTACGATTTCGTGCTCTCTTCGTGTCAGTTCTCAACTTTTTACAAGTATATATATACCTTTTACTCTATTAAATGATCAACTTATAAAATATTCTTATATTCTATTGAACAACTGCCACGTACCTCAAAATTGGGTCTGGGGAGTACAGTGGCGGATCCAGAAAGTAAGTGGGTGCCAACTGACTGCCTTAGAGGCGGCCCGTTCCGGTCATGTTTCGATGATTCCCTAAATAATTAATCAAATTTTTCCAAGAAAAGGGGGGCCCGGGTTCACCCCTTCCCCCTAAATCCGCCTCTGAAGTATAGAATTAAATCCTGATTCCCTGTTTAAAACAAATGTATTTAAAAGAAACTTATTCTGAATAGTTCATTCGTTCGTTAACAATTGTTGAAAAAAATCAATTTTTTGCGATAAAATGGCATTACAAATAGAAAAAAAAACTTACTTACAAAGTCTGTAACAATGTGTAAGTAACTTGAATTTTTCATACATCGTTAGCGGATGGTCAAAATTCATTTGTATCTTACTTCATGCAGTTGAAGTAATATTTGTATTGTGTTTTGATTATGATTTTAACGTTTATATATAGATTAATTAGTAAGTTTTATTTCACATTTGAAATACCGTAGGGCGTATTAAAACCTGAACGCATCAGAAAGGAATATCCCACTTTAGTGTTGTCGGTAAAATAGGATGCTTATTCTGCATATCTTTGTAGAAAATAGTATTTGTTTGACGGTATATAAGTCAGATTATGTATATTTTAAGGTTTTTCTAGTCGTAAAACACCTCTTATCTATAACTTAATCGTTCCTGGTGAAGGTAGATCAAGAAAAGCGCTTAAGACACATGAATTTATTATAACGTGTTGTTTTCATTATTTTTCTATACATAATACTGTGGTTTCATTTATTTTCGTGGATTGCTGAAAACTTGCATACTTGTGGATATTTGATTTTGTAGTGTTGCCAATCTCTGTATGTATATATAATACAGAGCCTATTGAAACTATGTTATTCGTTGAACATTTGAATTCGTCGTTCACCTTTACCCACGGAATCCACGAAAATTGGTATCCAACAAATAATAATGAATCCACAGTATTTAGTATCCAACATAGCATCAAGCTGGGCATCCTCTTCAAATTATCGATTCTCATCATACTATATATATTAAAAGTATAATTAAGAAGTGGGAAGTGTCATTTGCATCTGTAATACTAACAAACATGCATAAGTGAGTGAACACACTGTGATTAGATGATTAAAGCTGTTAATTTTTTCCTTAATAATATTTATGTACGTTTCTGCAACAAAGTTTATCGACAGATTGTAGGTATTCCTATGGGGATTAATTGCGCCCCTTTAAAAGCAGACTTGTTTTTGTATTGCTATGAATCACAGTTTATGATCACACTCAGTAAAGGCCCGTCTAAATTGCATTTAATTGTTTAATTTGAAAACACTTCCCGTTATCTTGATGATATTTTTTCGTTAAATAATCAAAAAAATTCTAGATATACTGCCAAAATTTACCAAAAGGAACTTACTTTTAAAAAATTCAAATGTTAACGCTAATAACGGTTCTATCCTAGCTTTCGATATATCAGTTTTACACGAGAAACTTCATACTAAAATTTACGACAAAAGGGACGATTTGTCGTTCCATATTGTTAATTTTCCTTTTTTGTATGGTAATGTCCTTTTGGCACCATCTTACGGTGTAAATATTACACAACTCGTTCGCTATGCTCGTGTCTGTTGTGACGTTTTTCTCTGAGTGTTTAAGACGTCTTTACACTAAATCCAGTTGATGTTGAATGTGTACTGATTGATAATTTAGACTTAGTTGCATGATTTTCTTTATTAGTTGTTATTAGCTTTCATCTAGCTGTCAGTAACTGCAAGTACTCTCAGATCTATTCTTAGTGTCTTTTTGATGTTGGGATGTACAAGTACCCGGTCACGTCAACTCTATCATTTTGTTAGATGTATTTCTATTTGTATCCATCTGATGAGTTAAGCCTTTTTCAACTGATTGCTATTGCTGTAACACCACTGTCCCAGGTAAGGGGAGGGCTGGGGTCCCAGTGACATGTTTAACCCCTCCACATTCTGTATGTATGTGCTTGTCCCAAGTCAGGAACCTGTAACTCAGAGGTTGTCGTTTGTTGCTATGTTACATATTAGTTTTTCGTTCATTTGTACATTAATTCGGCCGTCAGTTTTCTCATTTAAATTGTTTTACATTTGTGATTTCGTGGCCTTTTATAGCTGACTTTGCGGTATGGGCTTTGCTCATTATTGAAGGCTGTACGGTGACCTATAGCTGTTAATTTATGTGTCATTTGTTCACCTGTTGAGAGATTTCTCATTGGCAATCATACCACATCTTCTTTTTTATACATAAATGTACACTAAGTATCAAATTATGCTGATAATTCAAAAATTAATAAAGATAAATGTTAGGTCGATAGATCAAGCATATGACGACAATGATGGCTCACATTATGGAAATTATGAAAATTAACTACATTTTTATGTTCAGTAAAATGTGGTCAAACTATATGAGCTGTGAGAAATTAATACTGAGTGGGAATATTATCAAAATTAAAAATATTTGTGATTGTTTGGTGACATTCGCCAAATTCCTGCAAAAGTAATGGCTGATATTCCAGTTACCTATTATTGACTCGTTTGCATCTTTCCAAATCGACTGATGGGTAATTATGGTTATTAGGAGAAAGCTTAACCCTCTTTCTTGTTATATTTGGAACTTTTATATCTAAAGAGCCTGTAGAAGGTATCTATGCGAGTTATTTTTTAGGGATGTCTTACCCGCCATATTTTGGACAGAGTCTTTGAAATACGTTGGCCAATCTGTTTGGTGTATTTTAATGTCAATAACGCATGCAAAATGTTACTCGAATGAACAGTTATCTCAATAAATGGTTTATCGTCGTGATTCATTAAAATATTATGCAGTTTTACTGTTTTTATTCAGAAAACAAAGAAGATTTACATGTACGTGACATAAACAAAACCACGATAGCCTGCGATGTGCACGAAATCTGTACTAACCATGGTATTATCGCTCTTGCAATTTTGTTCGTGACGTCATATGCAAGAAGTATAGAATGGATATGCGGCAATCCCACTGTTGAGAAGTCCAGATGAAGGCAAATTAAGAAAGGTGCTTCGAATGCATGACATTTATAAATATTGTTTTCATTCTGTACAGTACTGGGTCGATACCTCTGCTAGTGGACTATCAGTTCCCGAATATCATCAGCACAGTAGTTAGTGTCGATAGTGACATGATTTATAACAGACCTTTCTTAAATTGTCCGTTTATAAAAATTATCAAGGAAATAAGTTTGTAACTACTCGTTTATAGTTAACCTTGGATGGGTTATGGATATTATTTGTAGGTTCTGTCGGTCATATAGCTCTACAGCTTGTTCGGTTCTTGTACATCATTTGCATTCAAGTATTCGACTTTGGATGTTCTTGATGAAGATAAATGGAGAAACGGACGCAGGAAATAAAATAAAATGGTGTTTAGATATAGGAAGATGTGGTATATAAAGGCAACAGTAGTATACCGCTGTTCGAAACTCATAAATCGATAGAGATAAAAACAAATCCGGAGTACAAACTAAAACTGAGGGAAACGCATCAAATATAAGAGGAGAACAACGACACAACAAAAACACAACATTAAAATGTAACACACACAGAAACGAACTATAATATAATAATGGCCATTTTCCTGACTTGGTACAGGACATTTTAAGAAAAAAATGGTGGGTTGAACCTGGTTTTGTGGCATGCCAAACCTCCCGCTTTTATGGCAATGTTAAATATAACATTAAAACGACAACATCACATGATAGGACCACAATACAAATAAATGGGAGAACATATAGGACAAAGAAACACACGAATAATAGCTAACAAAAGGTACTAGGCTTAAAATTCAATACGCCAGACGTTCGTCTCGTCCACACAAGACCAACCAGTGACGCTCAGATGAAAAAAGTTTGAAAGCCAAAACAAGTACAAAGCTGACGAGCACCGAGGACAAAAACTTCCAATAAGTTGCGCCTAACACGGCCAGGGTTTTCTGCCTGGGACAAGAACATTCTTATTATTTAGAATAATTTATAATTTTGCAAACAGTAAATTTTATAAAATGACTATATAATAGATATACATGGTAAAACCCAAGTAGGGACTAACTACAGAATGAAAACGGATACATTACATTGAACAACTTAATACAACACATAAAAATACACAGCCGAGTTAGCCAAAGCCTCAACGCACAAAGTGACCTCACATTTGAAATTCTAAACAAACACACACAGTGACGTCACATTTGAATTTGTAAAAATATTTCTCCAAAACAAGATAGGATTAGGATTGATTCAAGATTAGATTTGTAATACTGCACAAAAATACATTGATGACCTGAATGAAATGGCTCATTGAACTGAGCATGGAATGATGCCGGGTCGTTTGTAGTACGCCTAGATTCTGCTGACGATATGGCGGTGCCCAAAGACGTTGAGGAAATACGGAATCTGGTCAAATATCTTTGCAACTTTTTCGCCATGAAATATCCCGGACCTCATTTACGTGTTTTATTGATATAATAGAAAATCCATCGTACACAAATGATCTCCCCCTCTCCGAATTGTTTCTGCCAAACGAAACTCCATCATGTTTTTTGCGCTTGCGCAATTTTACAAGTTTACTAAAACTGTTTGTTAAGTTATTTTTCGGTGAAATTATAAGAAACGGATTGCTACTTACGCTGACATGTTTGTAGTTAACAAACATGTATGTCTTAAGCTATAACGGGATTTCGCATGATCACTGTATCATGTGTACATCTTTTTAAAATTCAATGTGATTATATAATTTTAATTTACGAATAGAACATATTCAAAATTAATACTAATTTTAGTAATATTTATTATAAATAATTTTTATTTTACCGATGTAACCTGTAAAAGAATCGGGCGCATATGTAATCAAAAGCTGTGCGCAAACGTAACAAATTTTAATCCCCAAATACGCGCAAATGTAAGGCACCGAATTAAAGTCATCCTTGGGAATTTAATCAGCTTACAACAGTTCAAAATACTTTGCCAATTATGTTTATTTAAGATTATGCCCCGAGCTGATAGACAAGTATTCATTGTGCTAATTAATTTTCTAAATTGGAATCTGTTCAAGGTAAGCGATTGCAATCACTAATCATGAACTGGACAATTAATCTGTCAGGTTAATTACCATGACGATCATTTTAAAATTCAAATTCGAATATCAATGATTTCAATACACATTTACATCAATTCTATTTCAATTGAAAGAAAAAAAATGGTTCGGATGACCGGTGATCTTTTTAGTATTTGATATTTGGTCTTTCCTATGGTTAAACGGTTCTCCGGTAAACCGTTGACAACACTACTTTTTGTAGATAGTGCAAACCAGCAATTTTGACCCAAATGAAATATTCATAAGGCGTATCGCTGAACGATACCAAAGGGATATTCAAACTCATAAGTCGAAAACAAACTGTCAGTGCCATGCCAAAATTCGAAAAACGATAAAAGTACAAACATAATTATACAAAACACAACAATGAAAGTTCAAGGCTGAGCAGCACAAACCCAACTTAAAACCGGATGAGGGTGGTCCGGATAGTAAGGAGATCCGGATCCACATATGGCACTGGTCGTTTTGCTTGATATGTTATTACAAACCTGGGCATAAGTATGATTTGGTAGGTCACATTCGACGAGGGATGGGACGGGACTGGGGTTACGACATATGAAACATATCCGTCGACAAATTCATGATGGCGTCTGTTAAATTTTCGAAGGGATGATTTAGACTGCACCGCTTAGAACGTTCGGTATAATGACTTGCTAGTAAGCAGTAACCCTTTATCACTGAAATCATGATAGCCAGTGCAGGAATATTGAATCTTCTGGAATAAATCTACTCGATATGCAGACACTTTTGGAATGTTGATAGAAAGATATATACAACATGGAAGCTTGAATTATCTGTTTTGTCGTAAAGTTTTGTTCTCAATGTACCCTCAATGTCAATGAATGGATGTAAGTCAAGATATGAGGCAGACTTAATTGTATCTGCATTATGTTTTATTTCAAGTTGGAAGGACTAAATGCGTTCATCATAGTCAACAAACTTTGTTTAATATATAGTGAGAGGATACCATCTACACAGCGACACATGATATTTAAAGATAATGCGATCTTCTTTTCCTTCTTCAAAGGTAGCTCGTGTATGAAGTCACCCTTATATAAATAACGAAAGAAGTTGGCAAGAGAACGAGCACATTTTCAATAATGTAGTTTTCATGGGATGGCCAATTGATTGCGTTGGAAAATAAGTTTTTGATCTGAAAAAAAAGAAAGACCCAACAGTTTTAGGAACAAATTATCACATGTGGAGAAGGATCTGCTTACCCTTCCGGAGAACCTGAGATCACCCCCAGTTTTTGCAGGGGTTCGTGTTGCTTAGTCTTTAGTTGTCTATGTTGTGTCTTGTGTACTATCGATTGTCTATTTGTCTTTTTCTTTTTTAGCCATGGCGTTGTCAGTATATTTTCGATCTATGAGTTTGAATGTCCCTCTGGTATCTTTCGCCCCTCTTTTAACAAAGGACTAAACACTGTTTAGAATATGTTGTGTTGCGCTTTAATTTGCATTCAGTTTTAAACTGTTTTAGGTTACTTGTGGTCCCATTACTCATTAAGAGATATGCATGCGACATTCTTATTATAACACAATTTAAAAAAAAATAAAACAATACCTGATTGTGTTGAAATCCTTCAAGTTAATCTATAAACGACCTCGTGGACCCTGTAATATAATATATATATATTGTATATGTTTTCCGCTATTACATATAATTGATATTTCCTATTTTGTGTGTTGTATCTACATGTATGGTCTTGACTTTGAAAATATTATGATAAATATGTTTCAAATATTCAGTTTGTTCAGCGTTCCTGGTAATGGTATATTGAGAAAAGCGCTTCGGACGCATTAATTTAAGGTGGTTGTTTTTAATTATGAAAATGGATAATGCATTCATGACAGGACACGCTTATCCTGTAGACGTATTCTGTCTCGTTCATGCGATTGACCCAGTTTTTTTGTTGTTGTTGTTTTTTATAATTTTACCTTGATTTGTCTTTTTCTAAATGTTCTATTTGAAGTACAAACCTTGAACATCTGTTAACTACTGTCGCCTTTTTTATTTTTTGAAAAATACACTAAAATGTACATTAAATGGCAATTTTCTATCGGCGTAAATATAGATCACCGACAAAGTAAGAGTTCTAACTAAGTGCGTTATCAAAAGCTATGTGTTAAAGACATTGAGTCATAAAATTGGGATTAATAGTTTTTACTCCACTGTATTTAGCACAGGGATAAAGTTATAAAGATGAATGTTATTTTCTGGGGTTTTTGAATATTGCCATTTTCTTATATTTTTGAATGAAGGTAAAGCGGTTGATTATAATAACCTGTATTCTTTATATGTTTTTTTAATTCTATTAAGGAGCCGTCGGTAGACATATTGGTTCATAAACTGACAGAAAAATTATATTCGAAATGTTATCTCATCTCTTTTGTTGAATGAAAAAAGTCATATCTAGGGCATCACATGATCTTTATTTGTACGGTTTAAGTAAACAAACCATGCAAAAGTACAGCATCAACATTATATGTACAAATATATCATTCGTAAAACAGACGAGTTTGAAGACACAAATACATTTCTTCCATTCCGAAAAAAATCTATGAAACAATTACAATCTAAATGCTGTTTCGTGAAGGGAAAAGTATTTACATACATAAATAAAAGGGTACAGTCGTACAGTTATGCAAATTTATAGGCAGAAATGTTCTGTTTTTTAATCGAGTTTTTCCGTGTCGCTTATAAGTTATCACTTAACAAATTTTTTTTTTCAAATGATAGATATCTGTTATCGTTTTATCTGAATTAAAAAAATAAGTGTAAATATAACTTTCACGACAATTTTCAGTTTACAGCACGATTCGTCTGTAATGGTTATATTGACCTAAAGTGTATAACAACACTATTAACCAAAGTGTAAATAAAAACGTATAAAAAAATACCTGAACGTCCTCGGCTGACGTCTATCATGGACCCTGTAATATAAGAGATATTCGGTCGGTCATAAACTATTACTAAACAAAATAACTGATGAAAGGCAAGTTACAATCTTCCTACTTTATTATCACAAGGGTTAAATATTGGTTGAATATTGGTCTTGTTAAAATACCAGCTAAACATTAGGAAGTTCAATATTAATAATTGCATCGGCAACTTTATAAAAATAAGCAGAACACGTTTTTTTATCTGTTCTCAATACTCAGCATAACATATCTAGGGCATTATAGGACCTTTTTTGTATGGTTTCAGTAAACCAACCATGCAAAAGTATAGCAATGGATGCTTAAACATAATACGAATACATCATTTGTGACAAATTCGTGTTGGAAGACACATATACATTTCTTTTATTCCTTTACCAAATTCTATGAAACAGTTACACATCACGATGCTGTTTGGTAAAGGGAAAAGAAACAACGAAACATAAATATAAGGGTACAGTGGTATATTTTTCCGATTAATAGGGAAAAAATGTTCTTGTTTCTTTTATAATGCGTTTTTTCTTCTCCTTTATCTTAATATTTCTTAAATCACAAATTTTAACACGTGATATTTTTATTCTTTCATCTGAATTCACAAATTATTGTTTATATACTTTTCATAAAAATTGTCCACTTTAAAGGACTTTGCAACCTCAATGGTTATATTGACTGAAAGCTATATAACCATATTATTAACCAAATTACGCATTACAAAATACCTGATCGTCTTCCGCTGTCATCTATCATGGACCCTGAAATATAATCGGTAATCGATCGGTCATAAACTAATATTTAAAAATAACTGGTAAAAGACAGTTCCATATTTCATACTTTATTACCACCGTTGTGTATTTTAGTCTTGTTAAGATACCAGCTAAAGGCTGGGGAGTTCAATATTAATAAGTGCATCAGTAACTAAATAAAAAGAAGCATTATTGCCTCAAAAATTTCATCAGCATGTTTTTTCTTTCATCAATATTTAACAAAAAACATACTTACGGCATTACAGGATCTTTATTTGTACGGTTTTAATAAACCAACCAAGCAAAAGTATAGCAATGAATGTTTTTTACATTCTTCAAATATATCACCCGTCAAAAAACACGTGTTGGAAGACACATATACATTTCTTTCATTCCTAACCAATTTTATCAAACAGTTACAATCAAGATGCTATCTGGTGATTGGAAAAGTATATACATGTACAAACATTAGAATAAGGCTACAGAGGTATACTTTTACGATTTTTAGGGCAAATATATTCTGGTTTTTTTGGGGTTTTTTTCTTGTCTCTTATTCTTATATTCCTTAAACCACAAATTTAAATTAGATATAAAGAAACAGTGGTACATTTCTGAGATCTGTGGAGCAAATATGTTTTGGGTTTGTTTGATATTTTTCTAATTCGGGGGTTTCTTGTCCTTTATCCTAATATTCCTTAAATAACAAATTATAATACGAGATATTTTTTATTGTGTTATCTGAATCCAAAAATCAGCGTTAATATAACTTCTCAAAAATAGTCCAGTTAACAGTTATTTACACCTTCATTGGTTCTTTTGACCGAAAGCTATATACCAACATTGTTAACCAAATTACCATAGTGTAATTGAAAACGCATTAAAAATACCTGCTCGTCTTTGCCTGGCCTCTGTCATGGACCCTGCAATATGATTGATATTCGATCGGTCATAAACTATTATTAAAACTAAAAAATAGCTGATAAAAGACAAGTTACATATTTTTTTATTTATTATCAACGTTCTGTAGTTTTGTCATTTTAAAATATCAACTTATTATAGGGTAATTCAATATCATTTTCTGTATCGGCAAATATATAACCAGAATCATCTTTGCCATAGTGAGTTCAAAAGTACGTTTTTTTTAATTTTTACTAATATGTAGCAAAACATATGTAGACCATACGAAAATCTTTATTTGTACGGTATGAGTTATATAACCAAAAAAAGTTTAGCAATGGATGTTTTAACATAATACGAATATATCATTCGTGAAAAATAAGTTTTGGAATACACATATACATTTATTTCATTCCTTACACCAAACAGTTACAATCAAGATGCTGTTTGTTGAAGGCAAAAGTAGAAACAAACATAAATTTAAGGGTACTGTGCTATACTTTTGTGGGTTTTTATCACGTGTTCCCTTGTCCCTTGTCCCAATATTCCTTTAAAACTTTGATACGAGATATTTTTATCGTTTTATCTGAATCCCAAACTTAGCGTTGATATTAACATCTCAAAAATTGTCCAGTTTACAATACTTTACATTTTATGGTTTTATTGACCGAAAGCTATATTATTACAGTGTAAACAAAATTACCAAAGTGTAAATGAAAACGCATGAAAAAATACCTGATCGACTTCGGCTGCCCTCATGAATGGACCCTGCAATATAATTTATATAATTCATATTTCGTCGGTCATAAACTATTACTAAACAAATAACTGGTAAAAGATAAGTAACATATTTCATAAAAAAAAACAGTTTCACTCTAAATGCTTTTTTCGGTGAAGGGAAAAGTACATGTATATACAAACATAAATGTAAAGGAACAGTTGTACATTTTTGCGATCTGTAGAGCAAACATGGTTGGTTTCGTTTGATTTTTTTTATTGGGTTTTTTCTTGTTCCTTGTTCTAATATTCCTTTGATAACAAATTTTAATACGAGATTTTTTTTAACGATTTACCTGAATCCCCGAAATTACCGTTAATATATTCCTCACGAAAATTGTGCAGTTTTCAGAACTGTGCACCTTCAATGGTACTTAGGACCGAAAGCTATATAACATAATTGTTAACCAAATTACCAAATTATCAAAGTGTAAATGAAAACGCATTCGAAAATACCTGATCGTCCTCGGCTGCCCTTTATCATGGACCCTGAAATATAAAATAATATTTGGTCGGTCATACACTATTACTAAAGAAATAATGATAAAAGACAAGTTACATATTTCATACTTTATTATCAACGCTGTGTATATTGGTCATGTTAAATTACCAGCTCAACATTGGGGAGTTCAATATTAATAAGTGCATCGGTAACTATATAAAAAGAAGCACCTTTGCCTCAGGAAGTTCAAGAGTACGATTTTTTACCGATGTTAAAAAATTAATAAGAGAGGATACTTATTGTATCTTATGGACCATTGAAACTGCAAACACATTATACTATTAACCACTATTAGTCAATCTGTAATCGTATTGACGCAGCTGAAGAGAAATTAGAGTCAAATATAGTTAAATTGCTACAAAACTTTTTTTAAAGATTATATGTTTACCTGTTCCGCTAGAGTCACTGGAACTCTTGTCCGTCTTCGTGACTGTTTAAAAAGAATAATGTTGTAATGAAGTCTTACAAGATAGAAATTTTCAATAACCTCTTTATCAAATTTGATAGGGCTTGGCTTTATTTTTTTGGCTTTAAATTTCAAGTTCAAACTTGGGTGTCAAATTGACAACTTCACCTTATTTCGAAAATAAAATGCATCATCAGGTTTTACGAAAATTTTCATGAGTGAACTCATTTTTAACGCCATTTAAGGCAACACCATGACATGATTCGTAAAACATGTTATATGACATGCTAACAGTGTTTGAGTTCTATCAAAATAATGTTTTGGCGAAGAGTTTGAATCTGAAAATTCATTGTACGGTTAAATGATAACCTTTCTTTAGTTTGCATTAATATACATGTTGAAGTTATAACATTTCAGATGCAAGAAAATCGATTTCTGTCAGGCGACTGAAAAATGACACTAGGTATGTTTTACGTAAACCATTACGAGTGATAGTCTATACGATGAAAAATTTGACAAATATTCGCGATTGTGACATGTTGAGCATGAATTTGCACAGCTGGTGTACTACCTGGTTTCACACCATTTAAAATGTTTCTCTTTTAATTTTCTTCTGATTTGTATTTTCTTAACAAATTTACGATATTTGGACATCGGTAAAATGATGTTGCCTTCAATTTACATAACTTGTTTTGGTTAAGCTTTAAATTGCAACAGATAACTTTCCTGCTCCCTTCCCTTCCCGACCGTATCGTTCCATAGTTATCAAAGGTACCAGAATTATAATTTAATACGCCAGACGCGCGTTTCGTCTTCATAAGACTCATCAGTTCAAGTCAGATATCAATTCCATTATAATAATATTAAGGGTACTATTATTACTACACTAGTTGCCCATCTCGACAATGGAAGTCTCGTCAGTGATGGTCGAGAAAAAACAATATGTCAAATGAAAACGTAATAAAATGTTGAAGAGCTGATCAACTTCAAATTGGCCTAGAGTATGGCCAAATCCGGAAACGAAATTAGTGTTTTACATGAAGAAATATATTCCTCAATTTGAAATGTTTCATATTACAACGTAGGAAAGTTTGAATGCTGACTATCAAACAGCCTGTGACTTTGTTATTTTAATAATAGCAATGGCGATACATTGTTATTTCTGTGTTACTTCTTATACGTTCAAGTTGAAAAACTGTTGAGAAATTTTCTTGAGGGATTTTTTACCCTTTGTCTATGTATTACAAATGAACATGTTGAAAAAAAATCCAGTTGTTAACAGATATTATTGCTGCAAAAACACTTAATATATTTATCATCAATAGGTTTCGATTTCAAACTGAACCTCCTTAACATATCACCTTGAGAAAGCTTTTTCATCAACACATTAATATTTTCAAACGCTATATAGGATCTAGCTCATCAACACGATTTTCCTACTTGTGAATATGCATTTAAACAACTAAATGGTTCGTTCTGTTAAAATGCTTCTAATTATCTTAGTTACATACGTACTGAACATATTACTGTGCAAAATGATTTTTTAAATAATTAAATGGTTATAGAAAACCTTAGGTAAGTTGACAAAATAAATAAAATTAGGTAGCTGAGATAGTAGTGACAACAAGACGACGATCATCTACGGAATTTAATTGTTGCTTTTAGGTTTTTTTTTACCTTTAGCATAACATAATTCTGCTAAATCGATTGTGAAAAATAAAAATCGAATCAAATCAAATGAAATTAATGTAAAGGGAAACCTTCTTCTATTCAGAAGTACTATAGAAATGAGTGACAACATGTTTTGCTTATTCAATATATTTTGATACAAATTGTTTAAACTATTCGATTGTTAATGCATTGCTGTTTAGTGTATGTTCATATATGTTGAAGGTAATATTTGTAAGATTAGTTTGTTTTCCTATGTAGCAGTCTTTGTCGATTTCACTTCATCCGTTTTGTGTTTTTTATGTTACATTTAAAACTTACCATTTTGTACCAAACGTAAATCTGAGCAGAGATCAATATAATCATCTACACCACTACTTCTTACTTCTTTACCTGTTTTAACAGAATGTAGAATAATTTAAATTTCGATCTATTGTTTGAATTGTAAATTTTCATATTCAATTTTTTTTTAAAGATTATCATTTTGAATATAGATTTTATTTTTGAAAAAGCAAGTGTTGGACTTTAATTGGCACTCAGTTCATGTAAGCTGTCATTTTTTGAATGTGCTTATCCGTGTCTTGGACTGCATTCCAGCGGCTTTCATTCGTTTACTTTTGTGTACATTTTATACAGACCAGTGTTTTTTTTTTTCAATTGTTTTTACCAATATTAACATCTTGAACACTCAGAACAGCGAAACAAAATTTAGATTCCAGAACTAAATAGCCTTTAGCCATCAACGAATAGCCGATGACTTTTCGAGAGTTGTTTTCGTTAAAGGATAATTCCTTTATTTTTGTGCAATTTTTGCTCTTAACGACAAAAAAAAAAGATAAAAAGAACATTACGTAAAGCATTAAGTATCACCTATAGTATTTATCAACCTTCATTGGTGGTAGTTCATATATATTTCTGCTGTTTTTTGTATATAAGTTATTGTCCTGAATAAACATCTTTATGCGTTTGTGCGTTTTTGCGTTTCAGTTTTTATTGTGAAATTTCTTCTATCAGCCAAGACAAACTTTACATTCGGCCGTTATAAATGTTTTCGCCAGAAATCCATGTATTATTATCTAATAGCTACATATTTAGTCATTATCCAGTGCCCTTAGATGCGATTTTCCGAGACGTTGGGTTTGAAATGAGGTACCCCATTCAATTTATCCAATATTCGGAATCTTTAAAAGATGCAGATGGAATTTTCGGTCCTTATGAATGTGTTCGCAAGGAATTAAATTATAACTCCTTGTAGGATCATCAAAAAGCAACTATTTAGGACCCCCTTGGATTAAAGACCTTCCAAGACAACGGGTTCGAAAGTTCAGTTAAACATATGTCGTTTTTAAACATAATATTAATGGACCTGACACAATGAAGTCTTGTCCAAAATATGATTATAATACGACACAAACGGAGCAGGATTTGCTTACCCTTCCTGAAAACCATAAATCATCACGGTTTTTTACAGGGTTCTTGTTGCTCAGATTTTATTTTTCAATGTTGTGTTTTGTGGACTGTTGTGTGTCTTGTTGTTTTTCATTTTAGCTGTGGCTTTGATGGTTTGTTACGACCTTTTTTTTAGTGTGATTGCCCCTTTGGTATCTTTCGCCTCTCTCTTATATTTGATATCACAATAATTATATATATATATGTAAGCGTTGATATACATTTATATGGATACAATGTTGAATTAAAATAGACATAATAATTAGATGAATGAAAAAAAGAAAATGAAGAAATAGAAGGAGAAGTAGAAGGCAAGATATAAGGATATTTGTACGTGTGAGGAGTTGGCATTCTTAGTGTTCTACACAACAAGGAATATTTTAGATCGTGTTATATAGACAAAGTTTAACGATTATTCGTTCTGGTCGTAAGTTAGTCTGTCATCATCAAACGTGTTAGCAATGGTGTACCTTCTCCAATTTGTAGAATACATGGGATATTCAAAGATTTAGACGAACATGTTCGAAACTTTATAATAGTTTAGAAATTGATCAAATCAAATAATCCAGGTTTCGTTATTGAAATTCTAAATATGTTTAACCGCGCTAAATATTATATATGAGGATCATACAAATAAGTCAGGAATGGGGGTTCAACCTGTAATTTAGTAGTTGCTGTTTGTTTCTGTATATCGTTTTGTTTGTCGTATAAAGTTTTGTAAATCAATCAAGCCGTTGGTTTTTCTCGTTTGAATTGTTTTACCATTATGGTAAATGGTGTTGGCGTTTGCTGCATGTGGAAGTGCATACATTTACGACATTTTATGGCTTATACGCACAGTTTCTTCTTTCCGCTAGTGATATATAGTCACCATTGGCACTGATATACGAACGGCCGTCTGTCCGTCGCTAAGTCGTTTAACAAGTAAGCTTAGTCGTTATAACGACTTAAAAATAAAACTCCAATCAAATAAAAACTAAAACTGCTAATTTTCCTCAAAATTACCAAATCAGGGGCAGCAACCCAAAAACGCGTTGTCTGATATGTCTGAAAAATTTCGGGCAGACAGATTTTGACCTGATGAACATTTGTATCCCTTGTCAGATTGGTTCTAAATGCTTTAGTTTCAGAGATATAAGCCAAAATCTTCATTTTACCTAATGTTTTATTTTTAGACATGACGGCCATCTTGATTATTGGGCGGGGTCATCGGATACTTTTTTGAAACTAGACATGCACCCTAAGGATGATTTTGGCCATATTTGCTTTAATTTTGCCAGTAGTTTCAGAGGAGAAGATTTTTGTAAAAGTAAACAACGACGACGGATTCCAAGTGATGATAAAAGCTCACTTAGCCCTCTGGGCCAGGTGAGCTAAAAAAAGCAAAACGGACAAAAAGCAACGGACAAAAAGCAAAAGTGTCGGACAAAAAGCAAAAATATCGGACAAAAAGCAAAACGGACCAAAAGCAACGGACAAAAAGCAAAAGTGTCGGACAAAAAGCAAAATTATCGGACAAAAAGCAAAAGCGGACAAAAAGCAAATTGCGGACAAAAAGCACCGTTTCAGTCGTCTATAATCTTAAAGTTTGCAAATATCATGAAGTTCCATATCATAATTTATGTAAAGCACACATATATAAGATGTTTAAAAGCCTAAATTATGCACATTGATTATACTTTTAAAACCGATAGAAGCAGATTTAAACAATTCAATTTTATCAACTTGTTGGTTTTTTTTACCTAATTTCTAATAAAGACTTCCATTTCTTTTGTTTAACTTCAACTTGGTTTTCACCTGAATTTATACTGGTTAAATACTTTCATAATTCCTTATATCAAATGATTAAATCTGATATATTACTTTTTAACATTAATTCATTAATAGTAATTTATTACCAATTTTGATTTACAAAAGAAATGTATATGGGACCATCATGCAAGTTTATTATATCATGGAAGTTTTATATTGACAGGAACTACTACGACCCGACGTCAAACGTTTCATCTGCGAAGCCGCGTGCAATTCAATGACATGTTAATTAACTTGAAACATGGCACGTTATTTACACACTAGCGTGTCACTGTCAGCACCCTACAATATTGTCATTCTCGGTTGCTTTTGTGATTACGGAAATAAACGAAGAAATCGCCAGTTGTGATAAGTTCTTAGGAAACAGCAATCGGTAAACCTCGGCAGATTATGTTACCCTACATCAGCATATGTGTGCCAAATGGTATATCGATGGATTTGTGCGAGACATCATTAATTCAATAGAAAAACACATTGACCATGGAAATTTGTTCCATATTCATTGAATAAATGCAACATGTTTATTGATTTATTTTCGGTAGAAATTGCACTATATGTAATATATATCGAAAGTTGTGATTATATAATTACTGTTTACTCCAGTGGCACAAATTCAATGCATGTCTTAAAAACATTTTGAAAAGATTGTTCTGATAAAAATAAAAGATCAAAGAGATTTAAAATAAATGTAGGAATTATAAAGCTTCGCTCTAAATCTAGGGTAAGATCATTGGTTGGTATACGAATGTTTCAGCTGAGCCCCGATGTGTTGAAATTTATTAAGTACTGCAACTGTTCAATAATATTTACTTAAGTATCCCAGTTTTTTATTTGTGAAAAAAGCTCGGTTTGCACTGAATTTCCTATAGAGACTTCTTGAAAAAAAAAATGCGTTAATTTGAAAAAAGAAAATGTGGTGTGATTGCCAATGAGACAACTCTCCACAAGAGACCAAATGACACAGAAATAAACAACTATAGTTCACCGTACGGCCTTCAACAATGAGCAAAGCCCATACCGCATAGTCAGCTATAAAAGGCCCCGAAATGACAATGTAAAACAATTCAAACGAGAAAACTAACGTCCTAATTTATATACAAAATATGAACGAAAAAAATATGTAACACATAAACAAACGACAACCTCTGAATTACAGGCTCCTGACATGAGACAGGCACATACATACAAAATGTGGCGGGGTTAAACATGTTAGCGGGATCCCAACCCTAACCTGGGACTGTGGTGTAACAGTATAACATAAGAACGAACTATAAAAATCAGTTGAAAAAGGCTTAACTCATCAGATGGATACTAATACAAACGTTAAGTCTTGAATCTTGATATTTTTTTACGAACAGCAGTGATTGAGGGCTAAAATCAATACTATAGAGTCAGGAGCTCGAGGCTATGACTGAGAAGTCTAAGTAAGGGAACTACTGTATCTCTAGCCAATCAACATGATCAACACTGAGGTTGAAAGTTCTTAACCCGCACGTGCACGGTCACTTGGCTTCCTTCACCAATACTAGAGGCTCTAAAGAGCTTGTGTCGCTCACCTTGGTCTATGTGCATATTTAACAAAGGACACGCATGAATTTATAACAAAATTGTGTTTTGGTGATGGTGATGTGTTTGCAGATCTTACTTTACTGAACATTCTTGTTGCTTACAATTATCTCTATCTATAATGAACTTGGTCCACTAGTTTCAGAGGAATATTTTTTGTAAAAATTTACAAAAATTCACAAAAATTTACGATACTTTTCAAAAAAATTTACTACAAAGGGCAATAACTCCTTAAAGGGTCAATTGACTATTTTGGTCATTTGACTTATTTGTAGATCTTATTTTGCTGTACATTATTGCTGTTTACAGTTTTTCTCTATCTATAATAATATTCATGATAATAATCAAAAACGGCAATTTTTTTTTAAAATTACCAATTCAGGAGTAGCAACCTAACAACGGGTGTCCTGATATGTCTGAAAATTTCAGGGCAGATAAATGTTGACCTAACTACCATTTTACACTTGTCAGATTTGCTCTAACAGCTATGGTTTTAGAGATTTGAGCCAAAAACTTTACAAAAATTTACGAAAAATTGTTACATTTATGGCTAGTGAACAGCGGTATGCTACTGTTGCCTGTATGTACCTTTATGTACC